CCACGGAAGAATTTCGGAGATGCACCTCTGCGCCGAGCTTCACGCTGAACAACAGGAGATGGATCTGTTCGAGGAAAGACAACCAAGGAAGCAACAGCAGTTAGTCTTCTACACTCAAAGAAGAAATGACAACAACTACAACCGACGCAGCAAGCAAGATCAACGCGACAACCGAGGACTCACCATCGTGCCGCCGTTCTGCCACAACTGTCAGACTTCCGGGCACTCCAAGGTCAACTGCAACCGCCCTCGCGTTTACCGTGCAGCAGACCCACAAGTCGCTTCCACTCAAGCAAGTCCTCCAAGGCGCTCTTCAACATCTGCACAACAAACACCCAACATCATCAACTGCATGGTACACATCGACAACTGCGCACCCGCTTCACCACCCACTTACGCACCAGACGAAGAGGAATTCCCGCCGCCGCGCTCGCAAGGACTTCAGGTCAACCCGACATACGCTGCAGTCGCTAACGCCGAACCCACCGGGCGGAACACCTGGTTCTTGGACAGTTGCTGCGGTCAGCACATGTGCTCCTCCGGACGCTTCGTACAACACGAGCGACGCCTCAACCGTGACGTCGTCATCACCGTCGCCAACAACGAAAACCTGAAAACAAATAAACAAGGCGTGGTTCAGTTACAATCAATGGAGACAAACGTTATTCTTCAGCTCAACAAGGTCCTCATCGTCGACAATCTGGGATACAACCTATTAAGCGTAAGCCAACTAATGGCTAAGGGGATTCACCTGGAGTGCGACTCCTTCTCCAACGAGTTCCGACTTTACCACGGGAAGGGCGGTCTCTTCATCGGTCGTGCCCTCCTGAAGTCCGGTGTCTTCGTGTTGGACTTCGTCCCCGACCGCGGAACTGCCGACAGCGACGGTATCGTATCCTTCGCCGCCTGGACTCATCCGCCAGATCTTGATCCCGACTTCGACAGCGACGGCTTCTGGCACTCCAACACCATACCTGCAGCAGAAAGAACACGAGCATTAGCAGTTATCAGACAAGAAAGACAAGTACCCGCATATGTCCCAACAAAACCATCACCTGCAGTATCGGCAGCAGGACCCAGCCGAGTACCACCACCAGCGACACGAGGACAGCCAACCGAAGCAGACCAACTTATGCCCGCCACACGAGAAGCTTGTCGAAGTCCCGCCTCGGTCGTCGCGTTCTTCTCCAACGCCGACATCTACCACCGCTCGCCCGGTCACCGCGCTCCCGACGACATCTGGCACCAACGTCTCGGACATCCTGCAAACAGCACGATACTTCAAACAATCCAAGCAGAAGTGTTAGAACGCAACGCCCTTCTGACGACGAGCGGCCAGGAACTCCGACGACCACGCGCACGGTGTTTCACATGCCCTGAAGCAGATCTTCCTCATCAACCTTTCCCAGCCCATCACAATCCAAGCGCACCCACTTACGCTCCGATGGAAAAGGTCTACAGCGATATTCTAAACATGCCTCGAGACGACACCGAAGCCGACTTCAACTACGTCATCACGTTCATCGACGCCGCAACCAGATACGTCTGGCACTTCAATCTCAAAACGCGCGATCAAGCCTTCGAGGCATTCACCACATGGCTTCCAATCGCCGAACGAGAGTCAGGAACCAAACTCAAGAGTTTCCAGTCAGACGGTGCACTGGAATACCAGTCACAACGCTTCAGGACCTATCTCGCGGAAAGGGGAATCCGACGCCTGGTGTCTCTGCCCTATGCTCACCAGCAGCAGGGGGTAGCAGAACGCATGAACCGGACCTTGCAGACGACGATGCGAAAACTGCTTCTGGGGATGAGGCTGCCCAACGCACTGTGGCCAGACGCGATGACACATGCAGTCCACCTGCACAACCTGTTGTCCTCGTCATCGCTCCCCAACAACGCATCACCACACCTGCTGTGGACGGGAAAAAGGGGCAGCACAAAATTACTTCGAGTTTTCGGCTGCATGGTACAATACAGACCCCACACAGCTCGAGCAGGACGCTTCACTCAACGAGCTCGGTGGGGACTACACCTCGGCATCGCCAAACATTTTCACGCGTGGAAGATCCTCGACATACAAGACAAAAATACGGTGGCATCACGTGATGTTATCTTCTACGAGCGACTGACGCTGCAGCATTACCTGGACAACATTGCCAACTCAGACGACCCCACCGACGGCTTCGCGGGCCTTCGCTCCTTCGCTGACCATGCTGCCGAGGCTGACGCAGCAGAAGAAGACGTACCTGGAGCCTCGGAAGCTGCCGGGCCACTCCCATTCTGTTCCATACCTGTTCCACTCGATGAAGATAATCCCCTCGATAGCAACAACCTCGACACCTTTTACCACTTCGCCGACCAAGGTTACGCTACACCGCACCCCGTCGACACGAATATTTCGGAACGCATCGGCCCCAATTTCTTACCTGACCCCGAAGACGGTGACGAAGCAGCTTATTCGGGGAATGACAATTCCCCTCGACACACACCCACGGGACTCCAGATTCTAGGCCTCTGGGTCTCCGTCCAGCATCCGCCGCCGCCTTCTACGCGTGAGCCTTCAACCTTGTCGCAGGCTCTGGGGGGGGAACATAAGGCAAAATGGAAAGAAGCGATGGAAAAGGAGTTAAAAGCTCTGCAAGACCGAGAAACATGGAAACTGGTACCTGCAACGAGCATCAACGGGAAGAACGTTCTCTCGGGGAAATGGGTGTACCGCATCAAGACCAACTCAGACGGCTCCATCGAACGATTCAAAGCTCGATGGGTCGTACGAGGCTTCGATCAACGATACGGAACCGACTACACAGAAACCTTCGCCCCAGTCTCCCGTCACACCTCATTACGCATCCTACTCGCCGTCGCGGCCACAAAAACACTACCACTACGCCAAATCGATGTCGCGAATGCGTTCCTATACGCACCTGTGGACGCTGAGATCTTCGTCGAACAACCCCACGGATTCATCGACGACCCCACGAAAATATGCCGACTGACAAAATCCCTATACGGGATCAAGCAAGCCCCGCGGCTCTGGCAGCAGCATCTTCACAGCCGTCTCGTAAAAATCGGCTTCCTACAGCTGCCGCATGACCAAGGGATGTACCGACTGCAGAAGGGAAGAGAGTATGTTCTGCTCATCGTCTACGTCGACGACCTGCTCTACATCGGCTCAACTACCGACATCGCCACCTGGTTCGAAGGGGAGCTGAAAGAAGATTTAACTCTCACGGTGTCCGACGAAGTTACGCAGTACCTAGGACTGAACGTCGTCGAAGACGACACGGCGTTCTACCTACACGCTGGAAAGTACTCAAGCACCGTCGCGAAGAAATTCGCTCTAACACCGACTGCGGTCCCAACTCCCTACCGCTACGGGAACAACGGCAGCGCCTCTACAAAACTCCCCGCGAAACAAATCCAGGAGTATCAACAGAAGCTCGGCTGCCTACTATTCGCAGCAGTAACCTGCCGACCCGACCTATCCTATAGTGCGAGTCAGCTGGCGACACATCTGAAGCATCCGCAACAGGAAGATCTCGAAGAACTCAATCGAGCGCTACTCTACTTCGTCTCCACGCCGACGATCGGGCTTACCTACAGCAAGGCAACAACACCGTCCGTACGACTACTCGGATACGTCGACGCCGACCACGCGGGAGACAGCGAAAATCGACGGTCTAGGACGGGCTACATCTACCGACTAGAACCTATCGGAACTATCTCCTGGCAGTCGAGCAAGCAGGAGTTAATCGCACTATCCTCGGCTGAAGCAGAGTATATCGCCCTTTGTACTGCGACCAAGGAAGGACTCTACCTACGAGAGTTACTCGAAGAAGCGAAGATCGCGACCCTGCCCGCCTTCTCACTCCTCTGCGACAACCAATCTGCGATCAAAATCGCGAACAAGGACGGCTTCGCCAATCGAACCAAGCACATCGCCCTGCGGTACTTCTTCGTCAAGGATGAAATCGCGAAGGGGAGACTTCAACTCAGTTACTGCCCGACGACAGAAATGGCCGCAGATTATCTGACGAAGAAATTGGCGAAAGCAAAATTCGACTACTGCATGCTCCTAACCGGGCAAACAAACGCCACCGGATCTGAACACTCCAGCACTCCAGAAACGAAGGGGAGTGTTGGAAATATCTCAAGGACTTAAGCGTTTCTGAAGTGTAACACTGTACTCGAGGAAGATTACAGGGGAGCACGCGAGTCAACGGAGGTTACACGAGGGGGCGGACAAAGAATGCGAAAGGACTCGAAAGGTCGCAACTGGAGGTTGCGACTGACCGTTACAACATCACGGATGGTAACCGAAGCGGCAATCGAGTCGCTGTGCGACTCGATAAACCGTTCCTGTAACTGTATTCTACAACTGCTTTCTTGTCTACTATATATTGCTGTATGCTTGTTTCTTTAATCAATCACTTGTTCTCACATACTAGTACAAGGGTTCAACTGCCTCAACTTCCGCTGCACTACTCCAAGTCTCAAGTCTTTACAGCTGGGACTTAGTCTCTGCAAAAGATCCTAAAGGGTTTTTCTCAGCCCAACACGAAGAAATATGCTACTAAACATTCTGTATATTTAGAAATTTATGGCATGTTCGTCTGACAAATCAGAAATCTTTGGAGAAGCCGTCTGATGATCAGACGGTTCCGTAGGGCCCGTCTGATCGCTTAGAAAGTGGCTGGGGGCAATCGAGGACCCTGGTTTGTACCCCCTACAGAAAGGTTCAGTAACAACCTACCAAGCCTATATTAAATTATAACTTATATAATTTGAACAAAGCTCACCCCTGTCTAGGGCAAAGCTCGCCCGTCCAGGGCAAAGCTCACCCCTGTCTAGGGCAAAGCTCACCCGTCTGTGACATGTGCACGGTACAGGTCTGCCTGTCATGCGGAAGCATACATACTGACCAACGTCACAGACTGTACACACCTGACATTCTGAATCTTGATCACAGGCTGTTCTATGATGATAGAATGAATAACAAGGATGATGAAAAATGGACGGTTTGACAGGTAACACACTTCTAAGGAAGAAATAAACAAACCAGGCACGGTATGGTACTGTATAACAATTCAACTTAGGGAAGTTCAAGTAGACTATTTACCCTCCCATTCTTCTCACGAATAGCAACCCCTTTCCCGTCCCTTCCCACCCAATAAATCACACGTGTAACACATCTCAGCACACCCTGCTCCCTTGCTCCAAGCACACAGTATCTCATTCGGAAAATCTCCAGCGTGGAGATCCTAGCGAAACAGCAGCCATCGCATAACGAGCAGGGTAGTGATGGGAGTGAGGTAGCGGCGGAGTTCACGAGGTAGTGGCTGGGTGAGTGATGGCGGGCGACGCTGTGTTCATCACCACCCCTGCCATCACCAGCACCGCCCACCCCTGCAGGAACGCCCGGCCCCCCGCCTCGTCCACGCGCACCGCCACCATGCCGCCTCGGGAAGACGCCTGGAGACAGGGAGAGGGAGAGGGAGAGAGATGCGGTTAGCAGCGGGGAGGGGAAGAGGTGGTAGTGGGGGAAAGGGGTGGAATACGGCAGCAGGAGAGGCAGCAGGAGAAGGGAAGAGATGCAAGCAAGCACGCATGGAGCGGAAGCAACTACGGCAAACTCACAGAACACGTCATCTCACCGCAACACAACCGACCAACCGACCTCCTACCAACCTCGCCTCTTCCCCCCACCTACTCCCCATTCCCCCTCGACCCCGCACCTGGTATCCCAGCATCTGCTTGTGCCCCAAGATTTCCGACCAGTAGGGGCCTAGCGTGCAGAACGAACTGCCTGTCACGGGATCCTGGTGGGGGGAAGGGGGGAGGGGGGGAGGGACATGGGCGGATGCATGGGCGGGGCAACGGAGAAGGGGAGCGTTGAGCGGAAGAGCGGGGGGAGCTCGAGAGGGGAATGCAGGGAGAGCAGCAGAGGTGGCGGAGGAAGAAGGGGGAAACGATGGCGGAGGAACGGGGCGGGTCGAGAAGGAATGAACCGAATCCATGGCTGTTGCACGGCTGGAACACAGACGCACAGCATCATCACCGACGCAACCCCATCATCCCCACAACACACACACGACCACGCCCCTGTGCCAGCGTCTTCCCGTGCCCCCGCGCAACCCGCGCACGCCGCGCACCTCGTCAATGCCGGACTGCGGCGCGAAGTAGCGCGACACGAAGTCGATGTTGGGGTCCAGCGCCGCCGCTCTGCCGCCCGCCGCCTTGATGTCGGCGTCCACGTGGCTGGCGGCCGCCGTCACGATCACGCCGCGGCACGGCAGCAGCGCAACCTTCTTGAGAGAGGGGTCGAGCTCCAACACCGTCGTCGTCTGGGGAACGTGCACCTGCACACACGGAGTAAGGACGGGGGGAATGGGGAAGTTAGTGTTGGTACCCTAAAATATCTACATATGTATGCATACATATTTTGACGCGTTGTGTTAGTAAAGTGAAAAACAACCCCCATCCCCCCAGCCCGTTGTCCCCTCCCCCTCCCGTCCCCCAACCCGTCCCCCAACCCGTCCCTCACCATAATATCGTGCAGCTTGCTGCGCCCCACGAACAGCGCCGTGCCGGCCACCACGCCGATCGCCTCCTCCACCGCCGCCCACTCGTCCAGCGGCAGCGCCTGCGCCGCGGCCAGCGGCATGTCGAGCTCCACAATCGCCTTCCCGCTCGGCCGCCGCCGCCCGCCGACTCCCACCGCCTCGTCCGCCTCTGCCTCCGCCTCCCACTCGCGCCGCTTGTTCCGCCGGCTCGTGTGGTGCTTGCGGTCGCGCCCGCCCAGGTGCGCCTCGTCCTCGGGCACGAGGCGCGCGGCGAGGCGGCCGGAGCGCGTGTGGAAGACGACCTCGTCGGAGTCGACGAGGCCCGACGAGAAGAGCAGATGCGCCGCCGCTAGCGTCGCGTGCCCGCACAGACGCGCCTGGGGGGGAGGGGAGAGAGGAAGAGAGGCGGAGGCGGGAGGCGGGGAGAGAGGGCGGGAGCGAGAGCGGGTGAGCGTCGGAATCCGCATGGCAAGTGGCACGTGGCACGTGGCACGTGGTAACCACGAGAAACATGTTATGAAACTTCCCTTTTCTTGCAGACGTTTGATATCTTCCCCACTCACCCATCCCCCACCACCCACCCTCCCTCCCCCCTTTTTTCCCCCCACCGCCCGTGTCCGCGTACCTCGACCGTGGGCGTAAACCAGCGCAGGTCGAACTCGTTGATCGGCACGCTCGGCGCCACTTTAACGGGCCGCAGCGCGCCGCGCTCGTCCGCCGCGACCAGCGGCTGCCGCTGCTGCGTGGAGTCTGCCCACTCGTCGTCCAGCCCGCGCGGGGGCGGCGGGGAGCTTGCGCGGCGGCGCACGAGGAAGGCGGTCTCGGACAGGTTGAACTCCGCGGCGACCTTCTGAAGCCACTCGTCCGACGGGTGGTACGGCAAGTAGCACACCGCCGCCGGGTTGCCGCCGAACGGATCCTTGGTGAACGAGCTGATCTGTTGGGGGGAGAGCGAGAACAGAGAAGGCAGGCGAGAGGAGATGAGTTCCGGCAAGGTATGTTAGGTTTTCGTTTCTTTTCTCTCTCCTCTCCCTTTCGGTGTTCTCGTTCTCCGCCTTTGAAATGCTTCTCACCCGCCTTGGACGCAGAAAGTCGATGGAACTCACTTTTGAAAAGCAGGAAAGAAATAGTACACAAAACCACTGGTATCGTTGCATGCCGTCAATGAACGGGAAAGACGGCAGCAACCCAGCATTACCAGCAGTGGCAGCAGTCGGGCAACCCACCCGCGCGAAGTCGATCTCGCCGAACAGCTCGTCCTCCAGCCCGTACTTAGAGGCGGCCTCCGCCACGTCCGTGTCGGCGAGGCGGCGCACCGCCTCGTGCATCAAGTCCTTCCGCGAGCCCTCATCCGATGACTCCTCGCTCGACAGCTCCGACGTCGTCTCCTCGTACGTCGACGAGCCCCAGGGAGTGGCGGTTGGCGCCTCGGAATACGCGAACGAGTACGCGGCTTGGGAGTGGGAAGATGACGGCGAAGAGGAGGGGGAGGGGGAGGAGGAGGCGGAAGCAGCGGGGCGCACGGCGATGCCATGGGTGCGCTTGCTGAATCGACTAGCGCGGAGCGCGGTGGTGAGAGGCGCGCGTTCCGTGCGTATGAAGGCGGAGGAGAGTGGTGGGCGGGAGATGGCGGACAGGGTTGTCGCGGCAAGCGATGCCTCTAATATCGCAGCCATCGCGATGGTCGCTTCGACTCCAAGAGCACCGAGACACCACGTAAGAGATCAGAAAAATGACGAGAGGAAAAGTTTCACAGTTGCAGCAACGAAGACTAGCAGATGGATAGCGCCAAGCTTGCCAAGGCAATTACGACCAGAATCCGTAGTCAGCAGCCTGATGGAGATCTGCAGAAAACCAGACTGGAGGAATGGAGTAACCGATGTGAGGTCGGGGAGAGTGACAGCGAGACCTTGGTTTCTGCGGCAATATGAACAAACGGGACTCCCAGCGACCAGGACACGGGTGGCGTTGGCTTGGCCTGGGTGCGTGTGAAGCTGCAAACTGTCTGGGGGAGCACCGCGCAGCGCCCGTCGGCGTAGGTAAGGAGCTGAACTCCAGCCAAACCAGCCATCCCAAGTCAAGCTCCTCAGGTGTGGCGGGGTGTGGCGCGGTGCATTGCGCAGCATCCCTTGGGTCCTCCCAATTGCAGCAGATTTGGCCATGGGCCGGGGGAAGCGCAGACCGAGATGTCAGGGCAGGTTGGGGGGGAGTGCGGGGGAAGTGGATTCGCGCCGTGAAGGCTCGTTCGAGGAGCTGGCCTGGATTTCTCCAAACCTTGGGGGTAGAGGCTCGATGCCGCGACGCGTCGGGAGATGAAACTCGCACAGCCAGTGACACCCTTGACCTGCTTCGCTGGCTGCAAAGATTAAAATAGAGGCACTTTTCTGTTGGACGCAAATATCCCCACACGCGCCCGTGGCAGCTTATCTCCTCGGGGCCAGTGATTTTCCGGCTTCTGGCACCACGTATGCAGCCTCGACGTGGAAATTGTAGGAAAAATCGGCTCGGGTTCCCCCTCTTTGGGTGATTCATTGACAGCGCAGTAGGGTTGGCAAATACGAGGCACTTGACGCATGTGGGAACGCAACAATTGGACAACCCATTCGCACGTGCGCCTGGACAGCTCAGAAGAAGATCAAGAGAGGGGTCAGCGGAGTCTGCTGGACAATCAACAGTTTTATCAACACCTGGAAAAAAACGTTGTACTGTGTGTTTACCCGACATGAAAATTCTATCCCCCCAAGAGACCCAACTTTTTAGGCATTCCAACAAGCATCCACTCGCAACGATCCCCAAGAACAAGCCCCCTCGTGTTTCAATCATTCAAACCCTTGCGCACGGCACGGCACGGCACACGTGAAAGTTTGGCGGAACAGTTTCCTCCAAACCTGGGCATTCGGGAAACTTACTGCCGCAGACTGTCCACGAAATATTTCATACTTTCGTGGACAGGCCCTACTTTCATGGACTGCACATCAAACTTCTGCTTCTCCCGTAGACACAGTCCATACTTTCGTGGACAACCGGCATACTTCCATGGACACACGCGAAATTGCAGTAAAAAACGTAATCAGAAATGTACATGTTGTGACGGGCGGGAAAAATAAAATGAAAACAGAAACAGCGTGCGTCGCAAACCGTCGTGAGCTACAGTGCCTCCATACCAAATCTGACGCAGAATGCTGCAATCATGGAAGTGGTAGTTACGATTTCTCAAACATAAAGGCGGGTACTGTACACAACTGCGCTTGAGAAATACAGTCACGCATCCACGCTTCAAGGCGAAAAATAGGTGTTTGAACATTATTTATTCCATAAGAGCCTCCATCATACGCACACTGTATAGATTTCGTAGTTCATGTGTTTCCATTCGTTTTAAGAATTCTATAAACACCAAATGGGTTTCTGATTGTGTTTTTTTCTCCTTTAAAAAATATCATTAAAATTGATCATTTAATACCATTATTCGGGCATATGGAATACAATGGAGTTTTAGATAAAACACTATATTCAACAGTATATATATGTATTGATGGTATCATTATTCTCATTACAAAAACATGTTGGAAATTTAATTTACGCATATTTTTTCAAAGGCTTTCATTACGATTAATTCGAACGTCAAAGGCTATATATACTTTTATGTTAATAGATTGGATTTCATGTAGGGTGTTGCTATCTAGTTTAATGACGAGATTTAGCCCACTGCTGCTGATATACTCTGGTGTCGACTGTAGCCCGCATGTTACAATCTCTAAAATTGAATCTGTGCGTCACTACAAGATATCCTAGATTTACGTGAAACAGCTTTCTGACCTGGCTGGTTGCGGACACTGTAGCTTGCGACCCTTTGCGACGGTCCTGATTTTGGCAGTTTTGTTTTTCCGCCCGTCACAAGGTGTACAGTTCTAATTACGTTTTTAGCTGCAGTTTCGCGTTTGTCCATGGAAGTATGCCCACTGTCCACGAAAGTATGGACCGAGTCCACGGGAGAAGCAAAAGTTTGATGTGCAGTCCATGAAAGTAGGGCCTGTCCACGAAAGTATGAAATATTTCGTGTACAGTCTGCGGCAGTAGTTTTCCCTGGGCATTCCCTCCAGGTCAAGGGTGACGAATGAACGAATCATGCTGTTGTGCCGTAACGCGAACGGATGCACCGACATAATGACATTGAAGGAACATGATGGTTATATGTCAACAAGACCTTTATGATGCAGCATCATATTTTAGAGGCAAAGTCAAGGTGACTTAGCTCTCATAAGCAAAAGCATGTGTACAACATTGCAAAAATGCCACAAATATTGGTAGTATGACAAGCTTCAAAGGGTAGCAGGTTAAGTCAACGTCAAATGACGACTTCCTACCGTCACACAAGTATCTTGTCCTGTCCTACCCGGAACTCCCCTCATTCCACCTTCTCAGCTGGACTCATTCCGCTTTCCAAACCGTCGGTCTCGCTGTTGAAAATCAAGGAGCGCAGCATGGAACTCAGGTGCTCCGAAGTCTGGCCAGAGAGTGTCACAAAAGTAAAGCTCTGTGTAAGCTGATTGTCACAGGAGGAAGTTGCTCAGCCGCTGCTCCCCACTCGTCCTAATCAGCAGGTCAGGGTTAGCCAAGTCCGGCCCAAGCCAACTAGTTCCCAGCTCTTCGGCGAAAACAGCCTCTCGGATCTGGTCTGGCTGGATCTCACCGGCCGCCACTCGCTCTGCGATTCGCCGACATGCGTGCACCATGTCTTGGCGGCCACAGTAGTTCAATGATACGCAAACGCGCAGTCCGCCATTGTCTCTTGTGGTGTCTTGCAGCGTTTCGATTTTATGTTGCAGGTCGGGGTTGAGGCGTGATAGGTCACCTATAAAGCGCACTGCTGCTCGTTGACTGAACCCAGAACATTGAGTCAGAGGGTAGAGAATGGGATGGAAGAGATGCAGATGGAGCACACGCTTAGGAAATGCTGGGATTCACAGGATCAGGCATCTGGTTGGTTTGACATCCTCGTAGCTCTTGCTGGACAGCTTTGTCTGGCAATCATTGAGCTTGCATTGCAGCACCGAAACAACATGGCACAGCCGACATACTGGTAATGCCACAACAGGGTCAAGTGGAAGACTGGAACGCACCTGTGCAGCTCATCCAGCTTCTCGACTAACAACCTGCCCATCATCACCATGCGAAAATTAACCTCCGCCTGGTCTCATGCATTCCCCCCCTTCATTTGTCCCAACATTGCAGCCATGCAAGCCGCCAGAAAGCAGAGAAGGATGCAGAAAAGTGGTGGACGTGGGGACTGAGGAAGGTAGGGACAGGATGGACGCAGCATCGGATTTCACAAAAACAGATTAAAGCTTAACCCTAATGAGCTGGCGATGGAGGCAGTAATAGCCCGGTTTTTTCCAACAAGCTTCCACCTCCCCCGTCGCTGTGAGACGCACTGAAATCCAATCAGTCCTCCGACCCTAACCACTCGGTTCCTCACCGATTCCCAACCCATGATCAAGTTGGCTCAATGTAAAAAATTTGGTGTTTGCGGAGGGTGCGGATGAACTGAGACGGGAGGAGTGAGAGGAACGATGCAGGACGACTGTATTATGAGCACCAGACCTGATACGTTAGTAGGTGTACGGGTGGCACGTTACAGCATCTCATGGCTAACTCAACAGCAGCCCTATGGCAACAGTCGTACCTCAGGCCTGCCCCAGTTCTCGGTGGAGAACGCGAACACGGTCAGCGCGCGGATGCCCCAGTCGCTGCATCGCCGCACCATGTCACTCAGCGACTTCTCCCCCGCCAGGTGCCCCAGCTCCTTGGGCAACCCCCGCCGCTTCGCCCACCGCGAGTACCCATCCAGGATGATCGCCACGTGGCCTGGCAACCGGCTCGGGTCCAGATCGGACGGCAGCTGCGAGTAGCTCATTTGATTGGGCCCAATTGTGCTCGTGTTTGTCGGGGATGCCGACGGGAAACCGTCGGTAGCGGCGGTAGGAGACGGCTTCAGCTTGAAGTCGGCAGCATTGCCAGTAGAAGCGGTGGATTTGCGCGGGGGGATGTACGGCATGGCGGATAACGCCGCAGCAGTTTCGGGTAAAAAGGGCGCACTGTGGACGAATCCGTTCGCACGAGCGGCTGGCAGCTCGCTGTTCATTTTCCGGACGGATTGTGACGGAGCGGCCTCAGCGACAAATGATTCTCCACACGGAGTCAGGTGAGAGGAGTCAGGCGGGCCGGGAAGGCAGAAGTGGATGTGGAGCGAGGAGTCATAGGCGCAGAACAAGAGCACGGCGGGTCCGATTACAAGCTATTAAAGCGCAAATCCAGTCCAGGGCGCTCTAAAAAATCGACCAACTTCTATGGCAGAGAAACCTGTTCCCATCCTTCTCTCTTCCGTCCAATTTCCAACTTCTCGACGTTTGCTGGGAAGGTCGATGGACGGGAGGGGGGTAAAACTGGCATGCCGAGCAGGAGGAGGAGGACATGAGATGCTGTGCGTTCTCGCGCGATACATTGAAACTTCAAGCGGTTGAGTAGGGTCCTGGGGGAAACAGAACCCTTGCGACACGGCCTTCTGGGAGTCCAAAAAGCGGCATCACACCTCCATCCAAATGGCTGAGCCGAGGGGTCGGCGAGAAAAGCGCCATCCACTTGCCAACAGCAATCCTTTCCAGGCATCGCCTCCCCGTCCCATGGCTCGATCGATACTGTACACCAGGCACACCCGAGTGCAGGCCGTTGGCTGTGTACTGTTGGCTTTGCATCTAGGTGACGATTTAGGGCGGGCCCAAGCGGTGCGTCTGATTACGGTGCAGTAACTTTTCTTTGCGTTTCAAAACGTTCAAATAGCAACCTAGAACGGTCGGGTAGGGTAATCAGCGAAAACGAACTATCTTAGGGGGCTTGTGGTGACGGTTGAGAATTCTGGTGCACGCAGCATTAGATCGGAAGGAGTACATACTGTCCAAACCAAAGCTGTAGGGAAGGTTTTGTTCATGGTGTCGAGTCGTGGCTTGCCTACAGTATTTCCTTTGAAATTAGCCGCCCCTTCAAGCAAAAGAGATGGTGCTGTTTACGGCATCCCATTAAAAAAAAATCTTTACGTTCTATCGAGCAATTCACATGGTACTAACACTACACGCAACATCGAACCCGGAATGATACACTTCCATACGACAACACGAGGAACACACATCTTATCTGACAGTCCCCAAAACAAACCATACGATTTTGTATCAGGAGGACACAGCACACTGGATAGCTGTGTTACACTTAAACTTGCCGTTGCAGATAACCCTCTCTCCAGTCTCAGCTGGACTCATTGCGCTTCCCAAACCGCCGGTCGCGTTGCTGATAATCTAAGAGGGCGGCATGCAGCTGGGGTGCACCAAAGTCTGGCCAGAGAGTGTCACAAAAGTAGAGCTCTGTGTAAGCCGACTGCCACAGGAGGAAGTTACTCAGCCGCTGCTCACCACTCGTCCGAATCAGCAGGTCAGGGTTAGCCAAATCTGGTCCAAGCCAACTTGTTCCCATCTCTTCCGTTAGGAGAGCCTCTGAGACCTGGTCTGGCTGGATCTCACCTGCTGCCACTCGCTCTGCTATTCGCCGACATGCGTGGACTATGTCCTGGCGGCCACTGTAGTTTATAGCTACACTAAGCCGCAACCCGTCGTTGTCCTGTGTGCGGGACTGTGCCTTTTCTATCTTGCGCTGCAGCTGAGGAATGAGGCGCGATGGGTCACCGATCACACGCACCGCCACTCGTTGCCTGAGCGCAAGGAACAGAGGCAGAGGCAGAGATGGGAGGCGGAGATGGTGGGCGGAGGAACATAACTAGTGAACTAGTGAAAAACAACCTTTAGGAGGTGCTGGAATTGGAACGGTTTCAGCAACAGGGCAGAGATGCTATGGTGGATGTTTCATAAAACCCAGCTTGACAATGGCAAGTGATAAGGTTGCACAGGTCGCAGCAAGCAACACACGCACATGCACACGCACATACACACGCACATACAGGCGAAGGAGGAGGAGGAGGTTGATGGGCTTACTTGTGCAGCTCGTCCAGCTCCTCGTCGATCATCCGCCCCAGCAACGCCATCAGGAAGTCAACCTCCGCCTGCTCGTGCATTCGGGCATCCCCCCCCACCCCCCAAGTTCCCGCAGCACCCACAGACACACAAGGCGCCGGGAAACAGGACGGACAGGGAAGTGGTGAAGGCTGGGACTGAGGAAGGTAGCGGGAAATTTTTTATGCGCTTTCTCCAGCTCGTGACTGCAACAAGGGCACCTCTTCCTTGCTGCTCGCTGGCCTTGCCTCGCATCTCCACCTCTTGCCACCCCCTTCCCGCTTTTCCCAGCACTTCTCGGCAAACTAGTCCTCAAATACGTACTGTGTGCGCGCGCAGTTGTGTTTGTGGTTTGGGTGCGTGTGTTCACGCGAGAGAAGGGCAGAGAGGGAGAACAGGGAGGGACCTCTTGAGAGAGGGAGGGGGGGGGCGGGGGGGGGGTGGGGGGTGTGGGGAAAAGGGAGGAAGGGGGGAGTGGAGAACAGGGCGGGACAACTAGGTTGTTGCATTACTTCAGGTTCCATACTATCCGTAACACGTTCTTGTTACATGTCACAGCACGTCGTGCATAATCCGCACCCATAGCCTTTCTGCACCCATAGCATTTCCACACCGATAGCCTTTCCGCACCCATAGCATTTCCACACCGATAGCCTTTCCGCACCCATAGCCTTTCCGAACCCACAAACGCAAACAGTACTACACCATACGTCACAGCACGCGCATACCTTGGGTCGCCCCCAGTTCTCGGTGGAAAACGCGAACACCGTCAGCGCGCGGATGCCCCACTCCCCGCACTTGCGCACCGTCTCCCGCAGCGCCGTCAGCCCCGCCTCGTGCCCCAGCTCCTTGGGCATTCCCCGCCGCTTCGCCCACCGCGAGTTACCGTCCAGGATGATCGCCACGTGTCCCGGCAGCCGGCTCGGGTCCAGATCGGACGGCAGCTGCGAGTAGTCTATTTCCCCCGCTGTGGTACTGTCGCCCCTCGGAGATCCCGAGGGAAAAGCGTCGGTAGTGGGGGGAGACGGTTTCATGGATACTGCGGAAATGGCAGCGGAGGCGGTGGATTGGCGCGGGGGGAGGTACGGCATGGCGGAGGATGCGGGGGTGGATTCGGGGAGAGGAGGCGCGCTGTGGATGAATCCGTTCGCTTGCGCAGCCGGCAGACCGACGCTTACGTTGATGACGGAATCTGGCAAGACGTCGTTGGCGGAAGGAGCTGCGGATGCCGATAAGGGAGGAGAGTCTGAGGAGTCTGACGCGGATGTGGAGAGGGGAGCCATGGAGATAGAGCAACAAGACGGCGAATCGGATAAGATTGAATGCTCTTTATCCGATCCCTGACCCCACCCTAGTCCAACCTGACCCTGATTTTGCGGTGTCAATAGCGGATGTGATTTTGCTGGCAGGACGGATTGAGCGCGGGAGTGCAGTGACGCTGTTTGTCCGCCGTGTGGCTGCATGGACAGAAGGCCGGTGGGGAGTGTAGAGCGTAGCGATGGCGGTAGATGACGGACAGACGGAGATGGTTGATCGTGCGGCTGAGATGCGATCACGACAGGAGAGGAGGAGGAGGCAAGCGTTGCACGCTCGAGCGACGGCCGACGGCGGGAAGTGAGATGGGAAGACCAAGAGCAAGCACACGCGACCGGGTTAGGAGACGCAGGAAGCGGAATGAGGCCGGGATGGAGTGACGTGTGAGGGGTAGATCTAGTGAGGACTGCAGAAAAGAGTGGATCGGAGGTCACGAGTGCGGCTCCAGGTGTAGTCGCCAGCATCGCTCACCGATCTTTGCCCTAGGCGCTTTGTATCTCCTGACGTTACGACTTCTGACCTATATCAGGCTGCTATTCTAAAGCGGTCTTGACTGGGGTCATCCTGTCTTGTCATCTCGCTTCCGAAGGACCTCTGAAAAGAATCGGACGGAAAAAACGACATACAGAATCTGGAGCAGAAGGCAGCAGCAAGGAATGCAGCATTCAGTTTGGCTCGGATCCAACTGCCATGACGCGAGTCACCAGCAGGCGACGGGAAAAGTGACGAGGACGCGGGGGAGCGAGCGGGGGAGCGAGCGGGGCGACGACCAGTCAGCTGGTTGCGCAACGAACGGGAAGCAGGTGGGCGATGGACGCGCAGATTTGAGTGAGGCGGCGCATTGGCGGAAATGCGGGGGAACTGATGGAGGGAAGTGGGGGCACAGAACGAAACGCGGGCGGGGGGGATGAAGATGTGTGGTGGATCTGTGCGGTGAGCGCTCCTGGGGTTCTGGAGACGTGTGGGAGGGGCTGGCTTGGCCTGGTAGAGGAGGACACGTGGCGACGAGGGAGAACGTCAGAGGGTTATTCTGAGCGCGCATATATGATTGGCCGGGTTGCGTGTTTCGATAGGCGCTCCAGGGTGGTGCTTTTGCGCGAAGGCAACAGCGCGGTTGGGCCCAGCAACTGCATCCCGAAAGATAATCACATTACATGCATTATCATAATATCCATGAATTTACATCTCATTACGATTAACCTAGCTTAAAAACCGTCATTCTCTGGCTGCAGCTTCCTGCTGCCTCTTGCGGAGCATTGACTCCACAAAGAACTCCCCAGCTCGATACGAGGAGCGGACCTGCATTCAACAAGCAAATGATTGAACCACAGAAACAGCAGCAAAAACACGTGAGGTAAATGGCATATCAAGTATACCACGGAGCAGAGAGGGGGAATACTGTCAGGGCTGCTGGAAAAGGGTGGACCGACGGATCGTACGAAGCAAGCACGAGCACGGCAGAATGGAAGAATGATACTTCCAGCTACATGCTGGGGTTCGACTCACCAGAGGTCCGCTGGCAACATATCGGAAACCAATGGACTCCCCGTACTGCCTCCACTCGTCAAACTTGGCGGGCGTGACAAATTCCTTTACGGGCAGGTGGATGGGTGTGGGCTGCAGGTACTGCCCGAGAGTCACTATCTCCACCCCTGCGTCCCTCAGGTCCCTCATCGTCTGCGCCACCTCCTCATCTGTCTCCCCCAACCCCAGCATGATGGACGACTTGGTCACCACGCTGGGAGCCACCTCCCTCGCATGCTGTAGCACCGTCAGTGACTGCTCGTAGCTGCACAGGAGGGCGAGAAGGGAGAATCAACTCAGAGAAGCAAAGGGGGGAGGGGCCATGAGAGCGGGCAGCAGAAAATAGTGAAAAGAACGGCCCAGAGCAACAGCAGCGCCAAAAATCCCACATGGAGCGTGTCAGCAGCAGGGGTCGCTCACCCGGCGCGCGGGTCTCTGACGGAGCGCTGCAGTCTCTTGACAGTCTCCACGTTGTGCGCAAACACGTCCAGACCCGACGTGGCCAGCGCCGCCACCGCCGCCTTGTCGCCTCGGAAGTCAGATACCAGACACTCCACCAGGATGTCAGGTCGCAGGGACTGGGGGGGGGTTGGTGAGGGGTGGCGCGAGGAAGAAACAACGAGGGTGATGATACGGAAGTAACTTGGAAGGAAGTGCAGGGGGAGAGGTGGAAGGGGAAGCGGGGGGAGGAGGGGGGAGGGGGGAGGGGAGGGGAGGGGGTCAAATAGCTTGGGCTTTGCCGGGGGGGTTGAGGCAAAGAAATGAGGAGACGAATCGGGGCCCAGCGAGATGGCGTGGGTGGGTGGCAGTACCTTGAGCTCTCTGACAGTGCGCACAAAGTGGTTGGCGCCCCCATCGGGAAGGTCGTCGCGGTCCACACTCGTAAGCACTATGTACCCCACTCTGCCCCGCGCGATGCAAGGGACGGTGGGAGGGAGGGAGCGGGCCGGAGTGGTGAGGAAATAGCGAGGTGTGGGAAAGAGATTGGGGAAGCAGAGGGGCGGAGAGAGGGAGGACGCGGGAAGGCATGACGACGAAAACGGGGAGAAGCAGGAAACAAACGAACAGAAAGAGCATAGGGGGAAAAAGGGCACTAAGGCGACTGCCTCACACAGCATCGCTGATAGAACGGGCAGCTCAGCCTCATCCCCACGCACACCCAGCACCCAACCCCAGAACCACCGCGTCACCCCCAGCCCATTCGCCATGCCAATTCCCCCTGCCCCTCACCCCCAGGAGGCGATGGCCCTGGCCGTGTTCTCGGGCTCGTCCTCGTCTGGCGGCGCTGGGTTGGGGCTCGTCGCCACCGCGCAAAAGCTGGGGTAGGGGGGTGGGGGGAGGTTGGGGGGGCGGCGGGAGGGCGGAGGGGGCAAGGACGGGGAGGCGAGGGGCGGGGCCCGGGGGGGGCGGGGGCGGGGGAGGGGGGGAAGAAAGAGAGGAGGGGGGGATGGAGAAAGAGAATCAGGCGGATGGGTAGGAGCACAGACCGAGGAAGTAGGAGGAGAGATAGCGGATGACTAACTGGGAAGGGAGAGTGGGGGAGATTACACGATGCAGGTTATGCTGTCGCAATACGCGCCCATGAGTGCATACGTGTGCATGCATGAGCAGAGAGATTCGTGGTGCGTGCGTGCGAGCAAGCGAGCGAGCGAGAGTGCATGGCGTGCGTACCGGCAGCCGCGGGTGCAGGTGTCGCCCAGCAGCATGATGGTGGCCGTGCCCAAGCCGCCGTCGCCATGCCCGCCGTTCCAACACTGCGCGCCATGGACCCGCAGGGAGGAAGAGACGGGGAGCGCAGGAGGTTTTGGGGTCAAGAGTGGGTCGACATGCGTGAGGGGTAAGGGTCGAAAGGGGGGAGAGGGGCGGGGGGGGGGGAGGTGGGGGGAAGGGGAGAGCGGAGTGGGGAAGGGGTGTGCAGAGTGGCCGCGCGTGTGTGAATGAAGATCCTGCGGGAATTAAGACTAGCCGTAGTCCAACGCACCTCGCCGATGTTAGGGCACTTGGCTTCCTCGCACACGGTGTTTAGTCGCAGTCCCTGCAGCGACTCCTGCACCTGCTCGTACCGCTTCCCCTGCGGCGCACGTTGGCGCAGCCACGCAGGTTTCCGCGGCGAGGCCTCAGGTGCGCCCAGGGGGCGCGGACGCTGCTGGGGGGAAGATACCGCGGAGAGCGGAGCCTCGACGGCGCTGCTGCTGGTGGCGCTGGTGGCGGTGCGCTCCGGGGGAGCAGCAGCGCGGATGGGAGGAGTGGTGGAGGGCGAGGGGAAGGCGCGATCGGACGTACGGCGGCGGGAGAGCGCGGGAAGCCGAACGGGGAGAGGGGTGGCGAGGAAGGTCGACGAAAGGGCAGCCATCGGAAATCCGCAGTGCGTGCCGTATCGCTACCTCCTCTGGATCGATGTGATTCTGAATTTACCCTACCAAAAGGTGCACCTGCTACCTTCTGCGTGTGTCACCGATGGACGGTGGTTTTGAGCCTCCAAGCCATTTGGCTGGTGCTTCGGCAATCCTGAAACCGAAAGCTTCAGCGACGGATTGGCTACCTGTCGCCAACCTTTCCGCCGAACTTGTTTCGCTCTACTTTATCCCACCTACGGTGCCAAGCAGACTTCCAACCCAAACGACAATTCGCGAAAACAAGTTACCACGCATTGCCCTCCAATGAAACGAGTGTGACAGCAATGGGTCCAGTGACCAGTCACAGGCTTGGGGGATGTGCCTGACTGACAAACAGTCCGCTGGGATGCGGAACTGGCGGAGCCATCCGCAGAGGTGGAAATGCTGACGTGACGCGAGTGACAGACAGGTGTGATGAAATCGACACATACTGATCCGATATAATCAAGGAGCAGAGAGAGTGTAGCACAACCCTATCAAGTAGGAATTTCTGAACACTACTGCACCGAATTCAATTCTGCAGCTCGCAGCTGATACCGTCGGGGTAGAGTAGCGGACAGAAATATAGGCAATATATTTCTCCCCCCAGCCCCAAATTCTGGTATGTCTATAACCTACATGCCTCTGCGCTTGAACCGGCCTCCTTGAGCCCAGGGAGGAGGTGGGGGCATGTTAGGTGGCATAAAGGGACCAGGAGGGAAGTCTCCCAGTGCTGCCCAGCTCGCAAGGCAATCCTCTTCCCAGGGATCACATCCTCGATCGCTCCCACCGTCGTCCTCCCCATCGCTCTCACTCTCACTGTCACTGTCCCCCACATTTCGACCCGGAAACTCGTGCGAAGTACTGCCGCCATTGCCATTGCCATTGCCGTTGCCGTAGCCGTTGCCGTTGCTGTTACCGTTGCTTCTGCTCTGGTAGTTCGTGCTCTCACTCCGGCCAATGACGCGGCTGATGGATGCGCCCGTGGCAAGTGTGGCAGCCACACCATCCAGCTCATCATCCCCACCCTGGCCTGATCCGCCCACCTCACCACCCATCACATCCCTCCCACTGCCCCGCACATCGCCCCTGCCCCCATGCCCGTTGCCTTCACGAGCTGTGTGCCTGTCTGTTGCTGGTGATACTCCATCCTTGCCTGCACCACTCTCACCGTACATGCCAGCCCTGCTTCTCACACTGCCATTACCACCACCAGCACTCCTGCTGCTGCTGTTGCTGCTGTTGGTGCTCCTGCTGCTGCCATCACCCTCTGGAGCATCACTGCTCCAGGCACCAGCAGCTGAAGCCCCATCAGGCCCAGCATGAGTACCCTCGGTGAACCCTATGCCTGCGCTGCTGCTGCCAGGTGCATCTGAGAGACTGGAGCGGCGGGCAGAAGACGGGGAAGAAGAGGTACCGGAGGAGATGCGGGTGGAATAGGAGGGGTGGGCGAGATCAGGGCCCAGGTTGTGACGAGCCTGACTCACTCCTCCATGTGACCCCAGCCTCTTGCCTGCCTCCTGCACTGCCCCTACACCTGCCCCTGCCCCTGCCCCTGCCACCCCATCGTTCATGCCCCCCTTCTCACTCCCCCCACCAGCAGCACCACCTGCCTCAGCTGCAACTTTGCTCCTTTCTCCGCTGGGGCTGGCCTTGCGACGGGAGAAGGAAGGGGCGAAGCTGAGGAGTGAGGAGTGGGACGAGGGCGAGGGCGGAGGGGAGGGGGAGGGCGACCGGCGAGGGGGGAAACTGGGTGCGGAGGGGATTGGGGGGGAGAAGGGGGTCTTGCTGAGGGGCGAGGTGTCAAGGACAACAAACTCATGGGAGAGGAAGCGGGAGTTGGGCACGAAGAGGCGGAGCGTGCCGGATCGGATGACAGTGAATCGCAGGTCGACGGACTCACACACGCCCTCAAACCACCCAGTGCCCACCGACACGTGGGCCGAGGGTGTCGATGGGGCGGAGGGCGAGAGCGAGCAGTGCAGGGCAAGCGTGTCACCTGCCCGGAATGGCCGGGCAGCAAAAAGAAAGAAGCCACCAAAGTAGTTGTGCCAAAGGTCCTGTGGGACAGGAGGAGAGGGAGGCATGGCAGATATCAGGCCGATTGCAGGGTGGTAAGGACGATGAGCTGATGGGCGTGATTTGAGGGGGGAGCGCGGCGGGCAAAGAGCAGGCGAGGGCAGTAAGGCATACCTTTCCTGCAAGTGCAGTTACAACGAAGAGAGGCAAAACCAGAGCTGATATGCGGATGCCCACACTGTGACGGTCGGGGAGAAGAAGAGGGGAATGGGGAGCGGGGTAAGAGAGGGGGGGGGGAGGGGGGGTATAAATGAACACTATGAAGATCCACAAAACGAATCTTACCAGACAATGTCTATGAACACATATCCCACAGCCCGGCTGCCAAGGCCGTTTCAGACTATCACAACAATGAAATGGCAGGTCAAAGTCATGTGCAGATGAGCAAGGATGAGGACGAAATGAAGAAACGGAAGCAGAAGGGCAGGAGCAAGGAGTGGAGAGTCACTCATGTACCTTGAGAGTACAGTGACCACTGCTGCTGCTGTCATCGTGATTCTGCACGAACAGAGAAAAAAAACAGCAAGGAAACCGGAAGTCAAGAGCAGTAAGGAGGGAACGGGGTAAAACTTAGCCCAAACGACCCTTGCAAAGTGCCCAACATCCACCCATGCCCCTCCCAAGTCCTCCCCTCCTTAAACTCACTCGACTGCGAGCACGAGCACGTCCTTGACATTGCGGTCCACGAGGCGGCGCTCCGCTGTCTTGGTGATGGCGCGCTGCAGCACGCAGTTGCACCCCCACAGCACCCACAGCAGCACCACCGCTATGCTGCACCGGGTAGACGCACACACACACATGCGCACAAACACAGAGAAGGGAGAAGCAGAGGCGGTGTTAGGACTCGGAAGGCGTATGGGGGAGATTCTGAGGGATGGCAAGAGAGGGCAGGCGGCGTGGCTCACCCGAGCCGCGGCAGCACGATGCCGAGGTTGTTGACAACGGACTTGAAGACTATGCCTGACCCAAAGAGAATGGGCGCCAGCATGGGCAGCGACAGGTCGTGCAGTAGTGGCACCATGTGCCACCGTACCTGGAGGGGAGACAGACACAAGCGGGGAGGAGAGGGAGTCGTGCGAGAGAGCAAAGGTGTTGAGAAAGAGCATTGGAGCAAGTCAAGGGGGTTAGGAGAGGCGGGGAGCAGGGAGGAAGGAATGGGGACATGAGAGAAGCACATTTTTAGGAGCCATGGCTAACACCCTCTAACTCCCACCAAGTGATCTAGCATGCTGACATCATCACCTCGTTGCCCCTACAATCTCACACCGCTACACCCCCCTTCCCCTACCCTCCCCTTCTCCCCTTCCCCCCCTCCCCTCCCCCCCCCTCCCCCTACATGGCGCAGGGAGGGCAGTACGTGAGCGAGGAAGGTGGGGAGCCCCATGGTGAGGTTGGCCATGGTGATGGACATGCGCAGCTTCACCACCGCCGGCTGGCTCCAGAACCGCTTCACCACGTCCCACGGGTCGTCGTCCTCCACCCGCCCCGCTGCACCCGCCTCTGCTCCTCCTGCTCCTGCCCGCCTCGGCCTGCCCTTGCCGCGCCCTCGCTTCCTCTCTGCCCCTCCTTCTGTTGTTGCTGCTGCTGCTGCTGCTGCTGCTGCTGCTGCTGCTGCTGCTGCTGCTCCGTCTGCATCTGCTGATGCGTCAGCCCCCGTCCCTGCTGACCCCGTCCTCCCCTCACTGGACGAGTCTCCCGCATCCCCGCCAGCGCTACCTGCAGGTCTAGGCCCTGCTTCTTCTATAGGCACCTGCTGCTGCCTCTTCCCCTCCTCCCCCGCTGCTTGCAGTGACCCTTCTGCTCCTTCTCTCATCCCACTGCCCTCTGATTGTCCTCTCACACTTGCAAAATCACCACCTCCCCCTGCCGCTGCTCCTACGACTCCCCCCCCTGCCGCACCTCCCTGCGTCCCCTGCCCACTCCTCTCACTTCCACCCACACCGGCCGGTAAACTTGCTGAAAGCGGAGGAGCCACCAGAGGCTGCTCTGCTGCTGCTGCTGCTGCTGCTGCTGCCACATGTGATAGTCGCGAAGGTTTCGAGGAGGGAGCTTCAGGGGGGGAGAGAAGGGTTGCAGAGGAATCAGCGCGAGCAGAGGAAGCTGAGGAAGAAGACGGTTCGGCAACAGGAGGAGGGCTCGTGGGCGAAGCAGACGGGGCTTGGGTAGCTGATGCTGCGGATACAAGGATGTGACTGGGATCAGGAGTACCTGTAGTACGCGTGGAATCCGCTGATCTAACCGAATTCCGTGCGGCAGCTGTGGTATCGGTAGGATGAAAAATGCCCGTGGCATGCGGCTGATAAGAGTCAATGTTTACTCGCTCGGTGACCCGGCCGCTCCTCCTGCTTCTGCTACCCCTGCTCCTGGCGCGCCTGCTGGCGCTAGACCCACTACCGCTACCCTCACCAGCGCGCCAATCCAGATCCCACCCATGCAAGTCCGCCCTTCCCCCACCACCACCCAAACCTCCACTACCCCCTGCTACCCCCCCTGCGATCGCAACCCGCACATCCCCATCACTTCCGCTCCCTCCTCCTGCCCGCTCCGCGCCAAAAGCGTCATCAGGCCACCAGGCTCTTCTCAGCTGGCCGGGCAGGGCGGCGACAGACGCGAGCATGAAGGCGAAGAGGTGGCGCGCAATGACGAAGAGCAGCACGGCCCGCCGCACTGCAGCGCGCGCTACATCCTCCCAGTCCACCTCCATCACCCGCCCTGCGATCGCCGCACCTGGGAATGACCCCGCAGCCCTCCACTGAGGCCCGTCCTCCTCCTCACCCAGTTCTCCTCCTCCTCCGCCTGCTCCTCCTTCCCCCACGCGTCTCCCTTCTGCCTCTCCATCCCCATCCCCACCCAGCGCCACGCTTTCATGGACCTCACTGTCGTCAGCCCACGGCTCCTTCTCTTCCGCCCCGCTCGTCTCACCATCCTCCCACGCATTGGCCTCTAGAGTCAGGGTACTCCCGTCCTCAAAGCCTGCTCCGTCCATCGCGTTCGACCCCGCCTTGCGTCCTTCTCCCACAATTCCTGACCAGTCTGCGCCGCTGCCCCCCTCCCCAAGCGCCGCATCTCGTGCTCTAGAAACATCCGAAGCCAGTTCTTCAAACGCTGATTCTCCCGCAACGCTCGCAACTCCACCCGGTAATCGCGGAGCGTTATCCTTCCACTCCACCTCGGGTGCTTCGGCACCCGCACGGGCAACCGCCGAACCGTTGCAGGCACTGCTCGCGGCAGTAGCGCCAGAAAACTCTTCCTCCTTTTGTCTAATTCTCAATGGAACCTCCCCGATGGAAGAGCTCCGATCCTCAGTCTCCGATACAAAAGCCCCCTCGCCTCTTCCAGATCTGCTGTTCTCACCGCCGCCACTGCTGCTGCTGCTGCTGCTGCGGCAGCGGTTGTTAGTGCCGCTATCAGGCGCTACCTGGCTCCCCACGGCAGCCACACCACTCCCCCCGCGAGGAGAGCGACGGGGACTGCGGTGGATCGCAGGCGACACCGCCGATTGAGTGCTCTCGTCCCCACTGACATCCGCACCCCTCTCCTCGTCCCGCCTCCGCTCGTCATACGTCGCCTCACCGTCTGGGCCCTCACTCAGGCCCGTGCCTGATCCTCCGGGCGAGTCGCCGGCTCGCACCCTCCAAGATCGGCTGAGCAACGGTCGGGATCTACCTCCCGTGTTGTCCAGACTGGGGAGTCGGAACGTGCACGATCTCCGCGACTCGAATTTCCGCCACGGTAGGGGTGTCACGCTGCGCCGTTTACCCCACCCGGATTTCGCCACTGCCCTCGCAAGCACGACGCCACGCGTGCCATCTCTCGGCGGAAACTCCCCCGGATCCTTGGATTCACGCCTCCGCGGAACTAAGGCGGAGCTCACACGGCGATAGCTGCATCTAGAAGGAGCGGAAGATACGGTGAGGCGAAGTGAATCGACCTGATCGAAGCGACCAAGGCCGCTGGACACCCTCCTCGGTGCAGAACGGTCCAAGGTGGTCCCAATTGTGCGAGCACCTAGTCTTAAGGCTGGACTGACCGCGGTGTCAGCAACGATTGCAATCTGCATGGCGGCAGATGGTATTCCACGCTGCAAGAACGGCGTCGCGACGGTATGATGGGAAACCCGGTGGAGGGTTACCATGACCTGACAATTGGCGCAGTGAAAGCCATGCGGGAGTAGAACTGGTGCTTCCCCCGCGGGGATTGGAAGATTGGAACAGAAGACGGACGACGAAGGAAGAGTAGAATTCCTTTCCCAAAAAGCAGGATCAAACACTCAGGCAAGTGCCTAAATTAGAAGGCAGTTTTGATAGCTGACCGGGTCCAGTCTGCTGGGGAAGAATTCGACGACCTAGACCGAGACTTGATGTCTTATGGCGACGATAATTCATGACTGACTGAAGCGAGCTAGCAACAACTGAGGGGAGTTGGTTCAGTGAGAGGCAAGGAGGATCTGCGTAAATCAAGCAACGAACGTTGCACGAGGATGGTGGGGTGGAGGAGTGTTGGTTACTGGAGCACACTAAAGGCAGGGGTGATTGACGGGTTTTCCGGTCTGACCGAGGCACACTGGGCAAAGCTATCTGGAAGGCGTATGGCTCGGGCAGCACAGGGAGCATCGCTTTCACATCAATTCGCCAATAGTTAGCGTCCCGCCCAACGGTGATTGGCTGCAACGTCGTGAGCAGAAATTCCGCTGCAAAAAGCCGATTTCCCCTTGTGCCAAGCAGAATGTTTGGAGGAGCTCTGCCAAGGGTGTTGGACTCCTCGCCAAACCAACCAACTTTCATCAGGACTGATGGAGCATAATGTACACTAACATGTTTTCCCGCCAAAAATGCATCCTCGCTTCAGCATGTTCTGGTATCCATAATAAGCGCAATCGGGCATCCACATATATTTTGTCCATGTTTGGAAGATATGCTTCAGCACATTCGTAAATGTTCGTTATGTCTCTTGGCCCCCTGAAAAAAGGCGAGAAAGGCAACCCTATGGTTACTGTAGCTGGATTGAGGGAAAATTATCGTGTGCGACTCACCGAGAGTGATGCAAATTTTCTGTTACGGAATTTTCTCCACCTTCGAAAGTTACGTGCACCTAACTGCCACCTTATGTCCCATTGCCCAAGTTGGCTGCGTTGTCCGCACGAGGGCTGTGACTGGCAATAGGTCCAGCGCAGCAAGTCAGACGGGCACGCGGACTTGGAGGTGGCGGTGAGAGGTGGCGAAAGTTGCCTCGCTTCGCACACAAAGCCAAGCCAGCCACTCCAACAGACGCAGACAGTCAGCCAGCAGCAGAACCCAAGATCCCCGAGACCCAATCCTGGAACCTCCACCACGATCTCCCACCTCAGTCGAAGGACTAATGTACAGTGAGCAAAGAGTACACTTAGACCGCGGTAATTTCACACCCTGAAATTGGACGGCAGTAGAATTTTTGTTTCCACCCTGACCATTTCTGAGTGCGTAGACAGTAATCCCTTGTTCCTACGGCCTAAGCGCGGCAGACTCCACGCGGACAAAAAATTTGAGCACTGCCAAAGCTGACGTCGGGTTTCCCGACTCGAGAAACACTAAATCGGGCAGTAAACATTTCGTATAGAATTACAGAATTAAATGGTTTTTCAAGGGTATCCGGATCTGGTCTTCAGGAGCTGCTTTCGGGGGGTGAATACCCTCTCGACGGCACCCCCTGTGAAAATACTGGGTGTAAAAATACTGCGGGCTAGGTGTACAGAGTGGTGTGAACTGTGTTCACATAATGCTGGCTTTCACTGCTCCAGTCAGCAGAGTGATTTACCCTTTGTATACCCACCTGTCCCAGCCCAACCCAACCAGCATTTTTGGAGGCTGGTCTACAGGGAGACTGAGGAACAAGAGTGTCCTCGGAGACTACATGAGCTTCCTTCCTACTCGAGCGTTGGTCGTCTAACTTGTGTGTTCTCAGTCGTTACTAGGGTTTTCTATACCTGTCCTGCAGTATTCGTTCTGGTGTTCAAGAACCTGCATCTGGTCTTCTTGCTGAATGGACATGTCTCGCGATCAGCAGCAGCAGGTGATATGAAGTTTTATTAACGGGCTTGTAACAAGTAACGGACCACGATTTGACGTCCCAGGACGTCCGCCGAGGTCGTCACAGTAGCTAGGAGCACTGGTCCGTTGAAGTGACGTCGTTCGTCGCTGTCCCGCTTTTAACCTGCTTGTTACGTACCCTAACATCGAGCGCCGGTCTACAATCCTGTTTCGTCCGAAGCCGTCTAGCAACGCCTAACTTGCAACGCCTCATTGCCCGCGTTTATTCCGACCCTGGAATGCAGGCATCGCCAGGTCGATTCGAGGACTAATAATTGAGGTCGCTTTACCGAGAACCTCGGTGCTATCATGATCCACTAATAAGGAATGCCCGTCGATGATTTCCTTCAGTCCGACTTCCCAGCCATCCTTCCCATGTCATAACTTTTCAAGTTCCCCTCTTGCCCTCGCCCGTGCAGGTACCTCTCGTGCCGCCGACGTCCGCCTGGCAGTGGGACCCCATCGGCTTCTGGGACGAGCCCTTCTCTTCCCTCTTAACCGACGAAGCACCCGCCGTCGCCGCTACTGGCGTTACCGACAGCCTCGCTGCCACCGCCGTCGGTGGATCCGTGAGCAATGGAGTGTTCCTCCCGTCCGTTCCACCCGCCGGCTTCGGCAGCAGCCCTCCGCTACCAACGGTGGGCGCAAGGCTTTGGGGGGGTCCTGAGGGCGGTACCGCCGCCGCCGCTGCCGCGTGGCTCGACTCCGCCATTGCCGCTGGGGAGGGGGAATGGTGGCTGCATGGCGCGGGGAGAGAAGCGGCGCACGGGGGAGCGGCGGGGGCCTTGGCGCAGTTGGGGATAGGCGGGGAGGACGAATTGCACGGGGCCCCTACACTAGGCGGCAGCGCCGCCAGGGCATTAGCGGCGGGCGGGGGTGCGGGTGCGGGTGCGGAGATGAGAACGGATTTTGCGGAGGGAGATGGTGATAGGAGTAGAGACGCAGCGGCAGTGGAGCGAGATGCGATATGTGAGCAGCGCGAGGGGCTGAGAGAGGGGGTGAACGGTCTACAGGGGGTGAACGGTCTACAGGGGGTGAACGGACAAGGCGCGGAGATGGACTCTAGTCCAGAGGGCGGTGTGGTAGGAGGTCCGGGCGATCGTCTAGATCTAGTGAATGAAGTGGACTTGACAACAGCAGCAGGCACAGCAGCAGCAGATTCGGAAGCAGGTGGAGAGACAGCAGTGGGTGCGACGACAGAGGAAGTACCGTCGTTACCCGTGGAATCGGCAACGTCTGACATGGCAGGTATACAGGCTGCTACTTCGGCGGCTGGTGCAGTGTGCGGTGGAGCAGCGAATAAGGAATCAGACCCAAATAAAGCAGCAGCAGCAGTAGTAGCAGCAGCGGCGGCAGCAGCAGCAGCAGCAGCAGCAGCAGCAGCAGCAGCAGCAGCAGCAGCAGCAGCAGCACCACCACCACCAACACCACCAGGAGCAGCAGGAGCAAAACCAATGGCAGCAGCCGCAGGGCTGGTGGCGAAGAAGGCAGAGTGCTCGCTGGCGCGGCGGCTGGCAGCGGCGCTTGGGGAGGAGTACGACGAGAAGCTGGAGGAGCAAGAGCGGGAGAGAAAGCGAGAGAAGGAGCGGCAGGAGAGGGAACGAAAGGAGCGAGAGCGGGAGAGAGAGCGTGAGAGGGAGCGGGAGCGGGAGAGGCAGAGAGAACAGGAGCGTGAAAGAGAGAGGGAGAGGGAGCGGGAGAGGCAGATGGAGCGAGAGCGGGAACTGGAGAGGGAGCGGGCGGTAATAGGGCGCAAGAGGGAGTGGATAGAGGCAGTGGAGTCGTGGAAGCAGAAGGAGATGGCCGCCACGTTCGACAGAATAACGGGCCTTCACGGCCCCGCCTCGCTCTTCCACAGCCCCCCTGCGTCATCTCGTCTGCTCAGCAGCCCGTTCGCGTCGGGGTCGTCCCCTGCCTTGTTCCGCCCGGGTTCCTCCTCGCCGGTCGCACACCCAGCGTCGTTGTCTGCCCGGCATGCATCTCGCCGCGGGGCCAGTCTGCCCAATGCCTCTGCCTTCACCCTGGGTCTGGGCTCCATGGTGCCCACTGGGCCGTCCTCTGATCCCTGGGCCAGCGGTGCTGCTGGTGCTGCTTGTGCTACTGGCGCTACTGGCACGGGCAGCGGTGGCAGTGGCGGTGCTGCTGGGGCTGCAGCGGGCGCGTGGGTAGATTCTGCGGTGGCAGCGCGCAGTGCGTTGCTGAACGGGGCGCCTACAGGGTTCACCTCCTCGTCGTCCCGCGCAGGCTCGCCGTCCTTCTCACTCGCAGCTCCCGTGATGGCGGCTCTCGGATCCGGCAGGGCGGCACCAGGCGGGCTCGGGTTGGGGAGCGCAGAGGCGTTGCTGGGGAGGGGCTTGCCGCTGGGCGCAGCAGGGCCGGCTGCTAGGGGAGCACCGCTGGGGACAGCAGCTGCAGTCATGGGCGGCGGGGGACTGGGGATACCCGGGGGTGCAGCATCCCTGGGGGGAGCACTGGGGGGTCCGCTAGGCGGACCCCTAGGTGGGTCTCAAGGTGGGTCACTAGGTGGGGGCGTGGCCCTTGACTTTTGGAAGCTAGCTACTGGTGGCGCGTTGGACAGGGGGCCACATGGTGCAGCGCAGGAGAGAACAGGGAGCGGGGATGGGGGGGAGTATGGAGCAGGAGGGGGGGGGCGAGGAGGAACGGAGGTGAGGGAGGAGATGCGAGATGGGGGGGGCGCAGGAAGGCATGAGATTAGTCTGTTGCAGCTGCAGGGACGGGGATGGCAGGCCCGAGATGCTTCCCTTCTCCTGCAGCAGCAGCTGCCACAGCAACTACAGAAGCCACGGCGGCAGCAGCAGCAGCAGCAGGAGGAGGGGGGTGGGCGGGGCGAGGAGGAGAGGGAGGAGATCCGGCAGGTGGTGCGGTTTCAGGGGGAGGGAGGGGCGGTGCGGGCGAGGGAGGGCGGCAGCAGTGGCAGCGCGGGCAGCGTGGGCAGGGCGCCGCTGAGCCACCCGGTCATGGAGCGCCTGCTCATCCTGGGGGAGGCTGTGGCCACCGGGGAGGATGAGGTGAGTTGGGCTGGGGGCAGAAAGACAGGGAGGGAGGAGGAGGGGAGGGGGTGGGACGACTGGGTACTCTGGGCGTTTTCCTGCGATGCCAGCATGCCCTTCATCCGGACTTGAGAACCTCCTCTTTCTCCCCGTTCTCCTTCTTCCCCCGTCCCCATAACCCCTCTCTCTTGCATTGCACCCCTTCCCCCTTCTCCCCCCCAGGCGCGCATCTGGAGCCTAGCAGAGGAGCTGCGGCTGCTCTGTTCCCTCACCCCCTTTCTGCAAACCCCTTTTCCCTCTCTCCCTTGCATGGCACCCCTTCCGCCGTTAGGCGCGCATCTGGAGCCTAGCGGAGGAGCTGCGGCTGCAGGCGGACTCGCGGGGGGCGCCGGAGCAGCGGCTGGTGCACTACGTGCTGGAGGGGCTCATAGCGCGCGTCATGGGGGACGGGGCCAAGCGCTGGAGCACCAACACCGCGCTCTCTGTCAGCCAGGTGCGGGGAAGAGGGCAGGCGATGTGGCTGATGGCGTGGGGAGAGGGTAGAGTGGGGGGGGGAGATGCGCTGGACCACCAACGCCGCTCTCTCCGACACCCAGGTGGGCGGGTGGGCTTAGAGCAGGGGGTCATGCTGGACCACCAATACCGCCCTCTCAGTTAGACAGGTCAAGCCAGGGGCAGGGTGTCAGGCTGTGGGCCGGCAGGCAGCATGTGCCGGTTTTGGTGAAGCTCATGATTGCTGGACGAGCGCCTATGTCACAGGGTACGACAATCTTGCATAACTCTACCTGATTCTTTTCTTCCTTCCCTCTCTACCCCCGCACGCCTCTTTTGCACTCTCTCCCTCTCCCCGTCGCCCTGCACTCTCTCCTTCCCGTCCCTCTCCTCTCTTTTCCTCAGGACGTGTTGAGCAAGATGGCGGACCTGTCGTTTGTGATGCCGCACCACCGCTTCATGGTGGTGGCGTGCAATGCCGCCATAGTGGAGGCCGTGCGCCACCACCCCGTCGTGCACGTCGTCGACATCGGCTGGTGGTTTGCCGGCCAGTGGCCCGGCTTCATTGCCGCGCTCGGCGCGCTGCCAGGGCCCAAGCCGCTCCTCAAGTTCACCAAGGTGCGGGCCGATGCTCTGTGACCTCCACTGTGGTTTGTTAGAAGGCCGTGCGTGCTTGCTACTTGTCGGTTTTTTTGTCAACGGCCTCCTTGCATTGACAAGTCCTTGGCCATGTGCCTCCTCTTAACACAATCTGCTCAACTGTTACATTTCTATCTCCTCCCTTTGCCCGCAGGTGGACACCCCTCCCTCCATGTGTCCGGAGCGAAACTTCTCCCAGCTGCCCACAGACCACTGCCAGGACTTGTTGGAGCGGGCAGCAGCTTCAGCGGGCATCCGCCTTGTGTTCCAAGCAGTGGAGTGCCCCCTCGACCGCCTCGACCGCAGTATCCTTGGCCTCGAGCCCCTCTCCCCAGCCGCTGCTGCCAGGTGCCTCAGCAGCAGCAGCGGCAACAGCAGCAGCAGCGGTGGCGGCGGTGGCACGTGCAGCAACCAGTCGGGCACGACGCACCGCCACCAGCCCAACCACCAGCGCCATGCATCCACACCCGCAATAGCTGCAGCGTCGGGCTCACGGCAGGTGCTGGCGGCAGGTGCTGGAGATGAATTGAGCAGAGTGGGGGCTGGCGAGGTGCTGGTGGTGAACGGCATCATGCGCCTGCACACCCTTCCCAGCGGGTCCGTGGTGCGGCACTCCCCCCGCGACGCCGCACTGCGCGCCATCCGGCGGCTGAACCCGCACGCCGTGGTCCTGGGCGAGCGGCACGTGGACCACGACGGGCCCTTCTTCCTGCGCCGCATGGCGGACGCCCTCCCCTGGTACCTCTCCGTTTTCGAGTCCCTGGAGGCGGGGCTCATTCCGCGTGTGCAGGCGTCGCGGGATGTGTTTGAGAAGGTGGTGATCGGGCGCGACCTGGTGAATGTGATCGCGTGTGAGGGTGCGCTGCGAGTGGTGCGGTCGGAGCCGCTGGGCAAGTGGAACTGGCGCATGCAGGAGGCGGGGTTTGCCGCCGTGCCGTACCCAACGCGCGCGCGCGTGCAGGTGGAGACAGTCATGGCCCGGTACCCTGCAGAGTTTGGCGTGGAGGATGACGAGGGCAGTTTGCTGCTCACGTGGAAAGGGCAGGCCATGATGGGGGTAGGGGTGTGGCGTGTGGCACGGTGATGGTGGTGCGGTGGGTAGAATGAGATGCTAGTTCTGTAAGGAGCACCGGGTTGCACTTGGTGTACAAATCCTTAATGTGAGCCTCTGTCTGTACGAGGATGGTTTTGAAAATTATTTTACGCCCGTGAATATGTCCTAAACGGGCTAGAACTATGACAAAACCATCATACCAACTCAATGACATGCTAGTAAGCATACCTACGCATTACTTGCAGAATCCATTTCGTTTTGCAAGCGAACGGCGGGGCGGGAGTGGTGGTACCTACCGCGGCCTCTTGCGGAAAAACATTACTGCATCAGTACATACCGCGTACGTGGCCCATTAGCCTGGCTCTGTCACTGGCTGGTAGCAGCAAAACGAACACATGCAAGCGACTTCGAGGGCGAGGCGAGGGAGACACTCACGCCATAACACATTCCAGAATTCACAGCAGACCTTCGAATTTTGCCACAATCCGATGATGTGACGTAGAGACGCGTCGCTGCGAACACATGTGAGCTGTGTGACAGGCGTGTTCCCTCCAAACCTGTATTACCCAACCAGCGGTAACAAGTTTTATCTTGTCTCGTCTTCGTTCCCAGCTCTTCCTTCGAAAGGGTCGCTACTCCGCTGTAGTCTCCTTGCCCGCCTCCTTATTTTCCTGACTTCTGCTCAATAAACCAGTGTCGCCCCGCCGTCTGAGCCATGTCTTTTCTCGGAAACGGCAGATCCGCTAGGTCTAGCGTAGCCTCGACTCGCCAGCCTTGTGGTTCCATGCTGTCGACGTTGTTGAATCACCCGTCGGACGACCTCATGGGCGTCATCTTCCGTCTGCTCAGCCAGCAGTCCCCCAGCAGCCTCACCCACGCCTTGGTCTGCAAGCGATGGCTTCGCCTCGCTTATCTCTCGCACGCGTGCATCGCCATTCGTGCTAGTGGATATGCGCCGATCGCCGCCAACGCCGGCCTCCTTAAAGCCAGGGACCCAAGTTTACCAACTGTAAAACAGTTGGTTGGCTAAAACTACTGATTGGCCGGCGAGCTGTAGGCAACAATGAAATCGCCTGCGAGTGTTGCAATTCACGCACCCTCGCGACACAAAACCTGGTTTTTCCCAACCAACTGTAAAACACTTGCCCCGGGTTCTAGAAACTTGGGTCCCATCGCTCTCGAAATTCAAGAATCTGACCTCGCTCACGGTAGACAGATGCGAGCTAGACGATAAGTGCGAGTTCCTCCGCGGCCTCGGATCGGCAATTCCCAAGCTGACTCGTCTTGACCTCTGACTGCTGCTTCCGGTTTGGATGCAGCCTTTACTGCTTGCACTGGCCTGCAGTCCCTCTCGCTGACCTTGTGTTACGAGGACTCTGTTCTCCCACCATACTTCTTCAATCTGTCCTCCTTAAAGCGAGGGTCTCAAGAAGCAAATTGCGAGGTGTGGTAAGGGGTGCTAGTTGGGCGCTGTAACTGTTTCGCGAAGTTCGTCAGCCCAAAACCAAAACCTTTGGATTTGGTTTTCTGCTTCTTGAGACCCTCGCTTTAACAGAGGTCGACTCTCACGTGGGATTTTACGAGATCCCCGATGAGTTTGGCAAGCTGATATGTTTGAAGAAGCTGATGCTTGACGAGCTTGAATCCGACGAGCTCCCGGAGTCGATCTGCCAGCTTACCTGGCTAACCGAGCTGCAGATATCACGCTGCGAGCTCCGCCACTTGCCCAGCTCCTTTGGAAACCTCAGCTCGCTTGTCAAACTCAGCATATTCTATTTGGATCTGCTGGAGGATCTCCCTGACAGCATCGGCCGCCTTCAGAACCTTCAAGAGTGCTCGTTGAAGGGCTTTCCGTCAGTCTCCGAGCTACCGGATTCACTCTTTTCGCTTACTTCCCTGCGGGCTCTTGAGCTCGCCAGTTTAGAAAACGTTCAACGCTTTTCCAGCGCGATGAGCAACCTCGTTTCTCTCGAGAGCCTTACCATCAAGAGCCGCGAAAGGTTGTCCCCATTTTCCCTACGCAACCTTGCTAACCTCCGCTTCTTGACCGTTAGAATCTGCCCAGCGCTCGGGGAACTTCCGAAGTTCACGGACTGCCTGTCATCTTTGGAGCATCTCGAGTTGGGCCAACTCGGTGGCATCACTCGCCTTCCGAATACCTTCGCCAGGTTGTCCCATCTTCGATTGTTCTCCTTTAACCACTGCAGCGGCGTCTCCAGACTCCCATCATCCCTGTTTCAGAATTGTTGGAGTAGCCTCACAGCTCTTGACTTTGGGTGGCCATCTGACTGCCCAACCAATTTCAATGACGACTTCTTGGACTCCTTGTGCGACCTCTCCAGCCTCTCAAAGCTCTGCCTGTCTGGCCTTCTTGGGCTGATTGCACTTCCAGAGGCGATCTACAACCTTCAACAGCTGCGGAAGCTGACTCTGTGTTGCTGCCCTGAATCGGAATACGTGTATTTCAACCGGCAATGGTTCGGCCTCACTTCACTCCAGATTATGACATGCCCAACGTTCAAGGCGGAGGATGACTATGGCACGCCCCACTCTAAAATTCCAGATCTGAAGAGTGGATGCATCGACGGAAGACCTCTGGGGGGAGGAGCAATGGGAGTGGGCGAGTGAGAGCGGGAGGACTCAGTGCTGCTCGAAAATGCGGAGAGGCTGAAGGTGCATGCAGTGAGGAGGGATGAGCTGCCGTGGTAGGGTGTGTTTTGCAGTTGTTGGTTGTGATGATTGGTTTCCCTCCAGCCTTGTAGAAAGTTGTTGTGCCTTCTACTTCTCAGTTTTCAAACAAATTCCTCCATGCATTGATGAGGCCTTCAGCCAGCATGCCTATTTCAATTGAAGCCGCTGGTTCGCATATCCGTCTCTTCCCCCCCTTTGCCTGGGTCAACTCCTGGGCATAATGTCCAGCTGTTGTGTGCACAACACCTCCGTGCCCGTGCTTGCGGTGCGCCCTGTGGGCGCCAAGTGAGCAGCCATCTTCTCTGCCTCCACGCTTCCCTCTCTCTCACTCTCTTTCACTTTCCCTTATCTTCCTCACCCCTCCCACCATCAGGTCGTGGCGGGGCATGTTGATAGCGGAGGTGAATGTCAACACCTCGTGCCACCTGGGGCTGGGAGGCATGTCGCCGGAAGCTCCTCTGTGCAAGCAACACAAACCACCATCACTGCCGCACGGCTGCGGTGCTTCAGCCTCTGCTTCTTGGGCAGGTGCTGCTCTGATCTGCTCCGCTCTCGCTCCTCCACCGTCTATCCTTCACTGCTACCGCCCCGTCCCTGCCTTTCATGGCTTTACCCCATATGGCTCAAGTTCCAAGTTGGTAGGTACTGTCCCTCGCCTCTGCACCAGTACCGGCACCATTCCACCCCTCACATTGCCAGGTTCGGTGCGATGCTGCTCTCTGCGCCTTGCATTGTGAGCTGCACTGCGCCGCAAGTTCTGCCCCACCCATGCCCATCGTTGCACGCCTCATATCGCCCATAGTAACCCCCCCTCCTCCGCTCCCCCAATTACCATCAACTCGTCTCCACACACTCACGCTCGTCCCGCCCTCTCAAGCAGTCATTGTCCCCCTCTCTCTCCCCCCCATGCCCCTCGTGCTCGGCCCATGGCACGCAGACTGCTCAGCTCCGCTCTGCTCCTTGCCAGCACCATGGTGTGCTCTCTCCCCACCTCTCCCTCTGCACGGGCTCTCTCATCTCCGCATCATCTTCATTCGCCATGCCACTCCCATCCGCCACACACGTTGCCTCCTCCCTTGGTATTCAGTTTCCCGCTCTTGCCCCTCTCCCCTTTTCTCGCTCTGTCAGCAGTGACCAGCGAGGCAACCTTGCCTGCCGGCCTCTTCCACGTGTCTCGCCTGCTGCCTCTACGTTGCAGCGACTGCAGGTGCCACGTGGCGTGGTGGGGACTGGTGAGGGCGTGTGTGTGTGGTGGAGTGTCTGCGCTGCTGCACCTCCCATCGCTGGAGCACCACAATGCTGCCCTGCTTCTGTCGCGCACTCGCCTGCACCAAATCTTCAGTCTCTCTTCCTTGACAGAGGCCCACTTACACATGTACCTCGAAGTGCATCCTGACGATTTTGGCAGGTTTGAAGAAGCTGACGCTTGACGAGCTGTCGCTCGAGGAGCTGCCCGAATCGTTTTGCCAGCTGACCCGACTGACCGAGCTGCAGTTAATTCGCTGCCTAGACCTCTGCCACTTGCCCAACTCCTTTGGAGACCTTTCCACGCTGGTCAAACTCCGCATGTTCGATCCGAATCGTCTGAGGGATCTCCCTGACAGTATCAGCTGCCTTCAAAACCTGCAAGAGTGCTCGTTGAACCATCTGCCGTCATTCTCCGAGCTCCCGGATTCATTCTTTTTGCTTACTACTTCCCTAAAGGTTCTTAAGCTGGTGTCTTTACGTGTTGGTACACGATTTCCAAGCGCTGTGACTAATCTTGTTTGTCTCGAGAGCCTCACCATCAAGGATTGCAAAATAGTGACATCAATTTCCCTGGTCAACCTTGCTAACCTCCGCCTCTTGATCGTCAAGAATTGCCCAGCGCTCCGGAAACTTTGAGTTCACGGATTGCCAGTCATCTCTGGAGCATCTCGAGTTGTGCCACCTTGATAGCATCACTCGCCTTCCGAATACCATCTCCAGGCTGTCCCATCTCCAATCGTTCTCTTGCTACTGCTGCAACCGCATCACGAAGCTCCCTTCATCCCTGTTTCGGGATTGGGCGAGCAGCCTCACAGCTCTTGACTTTGGGTGGCCATCTGGCTGCCCGGCCGGTGAACTGGATCGCGCAACGTGATTCATCGACGGATTTATGTCGTCTCTTTCCAACCTCACCAGCCTCTCAACCAGGGCCTACTTTTGGATTTTTACTACTCTGATATTGGGGAGTGGCATTTCGCATTACTCTGAAAATCAGAGTGCATCCTCACAGTTTCTCTGATTTGCCAGGGTTTTTTTCCATTTTGAAAATTTTACACTGATAGTGCAGAGGGGAAATTTCCACAACTCTATACTGCTGTTGTGCACCCCGACAAAGGTTTGTGATAGACGTACGCTTCATTTCAAACACATACATACATTAGTCACCATGCTCATCCTCATCTCCCTCTGAGGCACTCTCACAAGAGCCACTGTCCTCCTCTGACTCATCGGACTCATCATGCTCCTTGCCCTTGGCAGCATCGCTGCTCCTCTCATAAGCTACTACTTTTGCCTGTCTGCGGTTCTTCTGGCGTCTCCAGATCTCCACGATCTCAGGGTAGTCCATGTCGTACTCCAGGAGGCTAATGGTCATCAGGTTGCCGAGTCTTGCATCACACAGGCTCGTCCTTAGCCAGCTCTTAACGACGTTCTGCCTGCTGAAACCGCGCTCGCACTCGACGGTGCTCAAGGGCAGAACCGCCATCGCCTGCCAGATCCTCATGAGATTCGGATAGCTCTTGGCCCAATCCCTCGTCTTCAGCATGTTGGCGAGGCCTTGGCCGAAGTCGTCATCAGCACGGTGCGTCTTCATGATGTGACAGAAAGTCTTTAACTCCAGCTCAGCTGCTCGACCATCCACTCCTGTGGAAGCGCTCGGGCGGGATTCGAGACATGGAAAGCGAAAACATCGATTAAGAACCATGGTGGTGTTGCCACCGTTTTATAAAACATGGATACTTGTATCGTCATATAGCGAGACGACATTATGAGTGCTAGGGATACGTGCATGGAGGGATCGAAAAAACATACATACCAGGTAGCTTGTTGTCAAACAGCTCCAGGTTCGACTTGACCCAAGTGCGCGCTCTTCGTTCCCGCACTTCCTGCTTCTTCGGCCATGTGTCCACCTTGTACAGCTTCGACCCGGCCATCCGCTTCAGGTCCCACATCCTCTGGTTCAGGTTCTGCACGGTGTCTTCAGCGAAGGCAGTGCACAGCGTGATGCAGGCCGCCTTGGTGCCACCGTACTTGTGACCGGGCAGGGAGCTCTCCACGAGCTTGAAACTGTGGGAAACAGGGCGCCCGTCGTCATCCGTGCCATGCACCACCACCTTGCCTCCATTCTCGTCATAGCTCTGCAGAAACTTGCTGAGCCGCTTGCTCAGCCCCGCGCCGAAGGTCTCGCCAAACTCCACGTAGCGATGCTTGATGTACGTGACGGTGCGGTTGACCTCCTGCGAGACAAGGGTGATGTCGACCTGATGTGTGGGCAGGGTAATAAAAGCAGTGGCAAGATGCGGAGCAGATAAGTTATTGTCGAAATTGAAGAAAGTCCACAATCCAGCACATGACAACAGGCCACCGGCGATATGAAACACATAGACCAACGGGATATGGGATAAAAACATACCGACCGCTTCTGGAAAAACCTGTTGAGCGTGTTGAGCTCAGCGAGGATGTCAGCCAGAAAGTACAGACAGAAGTGGAACTTGAGCGTTTTGACCACTGGAACCAGCTTGTGGTTGTACTCGATGAGCACAGCGATTACAGAGCCGAGGATCCTGCAGAGTCGTTTTACAGCATCTCCACGCGAAAGCCACCGGATGTTGAAGAGCCCCTGGTGCTTGAGGTTCGTGTTGTGGATGATCAGCTGGAGCTCCTTGAACCTCTCGTACCACGGTGTTGAACGCCCAACAATCTCGCCGAAACCACGGATGACGATGTCGATGATCCAGAGGTCGGGGAAGGCGCTGGCCGCATCCTTCACTGCAAGGGCCTCACTGCGAGATACGAAGAATCATGCAAGGTCGGGCAACTAGCATGGATAACAAATAGTCTGACATGCATTGCATGCGAGGAAACGGACTCAAAACGTCGGGGCTGCAAGGGGGAAGACAAGTGTGGCTCGACCTGCATGAACTCACCGATGTGCAATACAGTGGCAGCCAACGAGATGCGGAATGCGCACCCGAAGACGCGCTACCAGACCGTTGTGCCCTCCTGTCATGACAGACGCCCCATCCGTGCTGATGCCTACCACCTTGTGAAGTTCGATGCCGCAAGAGTCTAGGTGCCCGAGTAATGCCGTCTGCAGAGCTGTTGCGTTGCACTTGTCGAGAGTAAGCAACGTTAGGAACTCTGTCACGACTCGCCGCTTCTTCAGGAACGTTGCGAAGACGATGAGGTGTTTGCCATGGGTTCTGTCAGTTGACTCGTCGCAGCTCAATCCGATGAAGGGTGATGCGTCGATGTGCTGCATCTGTTGTGCTTTCAAGTACGCCACCATTGCGCGCACCATTTTCTTGAAGCCATATCTGCACTTGGAAGGGCATGGATAAGCCGGAATTAACTCGATGATTGATACGACAGCGGAGCAGTCGCAATTTCACCAAGAAAGAGTACCGAAAATCATGAGCCACCCCGGTACTTACTGCGTGATGTAGACGCCATAAGTCTGCTTCGGAATGTCCTTGACACCCTCCTCTGCCATGAACCCGACGAGCCGCGTGAACATGGCGATCGGGGCATCCTCCTTGCATATGAACAGCATAGTTCGAAGCAGACGAACGATCCTCGCGCCGTCATGGTCGTGCTTCCCGAAGTCCTCCATTTTCTTCTGATTCTCGACCTCCTTCAGCAGCGCCTCTTGCTTCTTGACGGCGTTCTCGTGCCTTGTGCTCTCCTCATGCCAACGCATCGAGCCAATCTGGAGATCCCGTCCACCAGCACCGTTGCGCCCGTATCGTGCGTGGTCTTTGCCGTGCTCCATGCAGATACTGCAACGCAAGCAAGGTGCACCATCGTTAGTCTTATCCAGCACTAGCCAGGGGAATTTCGGTAACCAGTCGGCAGTGTACTTACGTTGCGCGGCAAGATAGGCCTTCGCCATCTTCTCGGCGGGGGTTAAAGCAGCCGAAGGCAGTTGATGTGGCACGGGCTCTGGCTCTGGTGGTGGCGGAGGCTTAGGGGGAGGCGGCGCAAACGGGAGATAAGTCTGGTTGAAGCGACGCTTCCTTTCCGAGGCAGACGCAGGAGTTGAGGCAGGAGTTGATGCCGTTGATGTGGACGCTGGAGTTGATGCAGAGACAACAGGTACAACTGAAGGTTCGGCGACAGGACCTTTAGCGTCAACCATAGCCTCTAAATTTCTGTCCCATTCCTCACTACTGAGAGAAGGCAGAGGCTCTGGCGCAATTGGAGCGGTAGCAACTCGACGGAGAAAGTCGAGCCCGCTAAGAGGGAGCGATCTAGGAGTTCGAAGAAGGGACAGACTCGTTGCCACCGCCATCGTCGGGCTCACTCGTGCCAGCCATGACGGCAGTGGCACGAGTGACGACGGGCGGCAGCGACGGCGAAGGTAAGCGAAGGTTTTCTTGTGCTAGGACGTTGTGAGAGAGAGATTTGGTGAAGGGGAGGAAGGGAAGGTTGAACAGGACGAGGGTTTCGTCTGCTCTTCTTGGGGGTGAGTGAATTGTGGGGCGCCTCGGAGTGGGTGAGGGAGTGAGGTCGGTCGTGCATGCATGGATGGTGGCTAAGGTCAGCGTGCGGTGGTGAGGGAACTGCTGCCAGCCTTGCAGTGATGCTGCAGTCGTGACTTATCAGCGCGGAGGATGCTGCCAGCAGTGGCAAGGATGGCAGCATATGACGTGCCACTGCCTGGCGGTACGCGTAAAATGACGCGTATTGCGGGATTTGTACACCGAGAGGGGTACAAATGGTTACTCTGATATAATCAGAGTAAAATAAAACCTCTTTTTTTTTACTCAGGGCACCTAGAGTAGTTTTCAAAAACGACTCTGATTTTCAGAGAAACGGAGTAAATTACTCTGATAAAATAGGCACTGCTCTCAACGCTCCGCCTGTCTGGCCTTCCTCGTCTGACTGATAGCATCTGCAATCTCTCACGGGTGCAGAGGCTGTCTTATGTTGACGCCCTGACTTGCAAGCCATGCCTCTTAACGATGAATGGGTCGGCCTTACGACTCTCAAGGTCATGGGATGCCAAAGTTAGGGGTGCACGGTGATTTTGGCCTGCCCGGCTCTTTTCTTCCAGTTTTGAAGAGTGTGTGGATTGATGACAGACCGCTACGGGGAGTGATGGGAGCGGGCAACTGAGAGCGGGAAGGTTCAGCTCTGCTCGGAAATGCGGTAAACATGAAGGCATGCATTGAGGGTGCATGGGATGCTGTGGTTAGGGTGTGTTGCTATTGTCAGTTCTGAGGATTGGGCACCTCTGGCAATGTAAAAGGCTGTGCTTTTTGTTTTCAAGCTTTTAGACAAAGTCTTCCATGCATTGACGAGGCCTGTCGCCTGCATTTCTCTTACCTCTATGCATTATCAAGCTATTTCTTTGCACGCCTCTTTGTCCCCTCCCGTTGCCCAGGTCGCAAGCTGCCTCTCAAGCTGGCACTCAAGTTCAACAAGGTCAGTATGGTGCGAGGGTGGTGTGTGCTACATTTATGCCTTTTCACAAGCATTTTGTCAACGGCATGCCGCCATGCTTTTGGTCTGCATCAAATCAAGGGGCTCGAAGCCCTGATTATGCACTCATTTCTATGCTCGCCCTTTGCCCCTATGTGGACACTCCTCCCTCCACCTGCTGTCAGTGCAGCTTTCAACTTGTTTCTGATTCTTGTTGCAACACGCACGCTGACAACTGCCAGTGCTTATTTGTTGCAAGCCCTTTCTGCCATGCCCTACACTGGAGCTGATGTGATGGCTGGGCTCGCTCACCAGGAGCTTGCCTGGGGATGGGGATGACTTTGCTGGGCGATTAGCAGCTTGAAATGCATGTGTTTCAGTTGGCAAGTCTGGCATGGCTGTAGACTAGAGCCTGATGAGTAATTGTACACAGGGGAAGCTAGCTCATGAATGGCTGGTTCGTGTGTTCGATTTCTGCTACCGGTACTTTTTTTTAACAGTGTCATAATTCCTCTCCACTGAGCACAAAGGGGTGTAAACGCAGGTATGGGTGTTCACAAGGCAAAAAATTGCATCTCTTATGGTACATATGTTAGGTTATATAACAGGAAATGCACCATGAATGCAAATGTGTTTGCATGTGAAGTGAGCCACCAATTCAGCATCCTGCATCCACGTCTTACAAAAGTGCAACGAGCCAACCTATGGGCTGCTAATAATGCGCCAGAAGTCACGAAGGGATGTGGCAGCACAGCAACATTGCAGCATGGCGCAGCACGGAATGGCACGGTACAGTTGTAACCGGAGAATTGGCGAGCCCTGGCTGGTTACCGGCGCACTATGAGACCCTGCACGTCAGCAATGAAGGCAGCGAGGGCGGAGCGGAAGCGACGGCGAACAGGACGAGCAGCAGCAGCAGAGGAGGCCGACGCACTGGCTGCTGCTGCTGCTGATGCTGCAGAGAGGAATGCCGTGACTGCAGCGGACAGGTGGTGCTGGCATGCGGGGTCCACATGGGATGAAACCGCCTCTGATAGAATGGTCTGGTGGGATGGAGAAAAGGGGAGGAGGGTGGGGGGAGGAGGGAGGATAGAGAAGCAAAAGGGGTTTTCCATGGGAACATATTGCGATCTAGTTCTTCTGAACATGGGATGCAACTGCCTCCAATAGAATGGTCTGAAGGGGGCCAGGGGAAGGGGAGGAGGGAGGAAAGAGAAGCAAAGGGATGGTGGTTATGAACACCAGTGCAATCTACTGCTTTTGGAAAGCGAGTTCAAGAGTGACAGTTGTGAGAATGGAGTGGGTGTGCCTTGGGAGAGCGGTGGGAAAGAGAAGATGGAAGGCGGGGAAAGAAATACCTGGGTGAGTTGAGGGCAGGAAAGAATTAGAGGGAGGAGTGCGTCTGCTGCTGCTTCGACCGTCTCGTTCCTGAAATGGCAGCATTGGCATTGGCATGGCATTAAAATACGAGAGAGAGAGAGAGAGAGAGAGAGAGAGAGAGAGAGAGAGAGAGAGAGAGAGAGAGAGAGAGAGAGAGAGAGAGAGAGAGAGAGAGAGAGAGAGAGTGAGAGAGTGAGAGAGAGAGAGAGCATGAATCCTGGACGGCAAGAACGGTACACAGAGGAAATGAGCCACCTTAGCAGCCAGAGTGAGGGGCAGAAGAAGGAGAACAAAAACACCTGCGGGGTGTTGCAGGAGCACCTGAGGGGTTGCAGGAGCACGAGGCGCAGCACAAGGCGCAGGAGATGGGCGACGAGGGCCTGATGGCGCTGAGCGTGCTCGGGTGCCATGGGCGCGTGAGGGGACGCCGAGGAGGCGGAGGAGGAAGAGGTGGTGGTGGGGGGTGATGCGAGGGAGGAGACGGCGGAGAGGGCGAGCACCAGAATGTCCTCGTCCTGGTGGGGAGGGAGGCTAAGTGTGAGACGACATAGAGAATGAGGGGTGGCAGGGCGCGTGCGTGGGAAGGGAACAAGTGAATGCATGCTTGATCGCCTCTATGTCTACGTGTGCGTGCGTGCGTGTCAGTGCCCAAACATGTCTGTGTGTCCACAACCGCCCCTTCCCCTTCCCCCATTCCTCCTGCCACCATGCAGCCCCCCCCCTTTTCTACCTGGTGCTGCAGGGCGAACTCGAGCGTGTGCATGATAGGGTGGAAGGCGGAGTCAGGCAGCGCCAGCACCTTGTCGGGGTGCACGCAGCACATGTGCTCCAGCAGCGTGAAGTACTGAAGAAGGAAGGAGGGGGGGGGGGGGGTGTTGGGTTTGATGCAAGTCATGGCAGGACTGGGGGAGATTAGGGCAAATCGGGGCAGGTGGGTGGGTGGGTGTGGTGGTTGGTGGTGGGGAGGGGGAGCGTACGGGGAGAGACAAGGGAGGAGGGGAGGACAGAGAGAACAATTAGATTGACTGATAGCATGGGTGTGTCACAGAAGAGAGAGCGGCGTTGGTGGAAAGCAGCCCAGGGGCGAAAAGAAAAGAGGAGGGAGTTGGTGGGAGGAGAGCGCTGAATTTTGAAGGGAAAGGGCAGGCAGAAGGCAAGAGTGCGAGCAGGGTGAGGAGACGAGGTAGTTACCTGGAGGCACAGCTTGGGGAACTGAAGGAGGTCGAGAGAGATGAGCGGAATGATGATGTTCACGCCCAGACACACCATCTGGTGCGCGCATGTACATACACATACACATATACACACATAGGCACAAGCGTGCACACGCACATGCAAATGCCCATGCACAGTATGGAACAGGGAGTTCAGCACAAGGCTGCATGGTCACCGTCGAAGTCATGCACACACAAATCGAAGCTGACAGTGAGAAAGTAAGAACAGCACGGGAGTGTGAGGCCGCATGCCACATGGCCTCACCCCCCTTCTCACTGGCAAACACATCCTCTCCCTCCCATCTCACACACCTGTGCCACGTCAGCTGATTGGCCTGGTAACGATGCTCCAAAGTCCAGCTGTCACACAGGGTGGCGGTTTTAGGGGTTTGGGAGGGAAGAAGTGGGGAGCCGGGGATGCGCTTTGAGTGGGAAGAGTTTTAAAGGAGAAGGGAGATGTGGAGGCAAACAGCAGCAACATGCGTGAACGAGTGACGGAAGCGTGTAAAGTGAGCAGGCAGTGTATGCATGGCTTCGCCTGATTGCTCTGCTCAAAGCATCTCCCAGCCCCCCACCCTCCCCCCTCCCCCTCCCCCTCTTCCAGTCCAAGGGCGCCCCACCAGGTCTTTGGAGGTGAGGGAGGAGAGCAGCTGCAGCAGCGCCTTGAGGTCCTTGTACTTGCTCTCCCGCACGCCCTCCCTCAGCTGCCGTGACCGCTGCAGCGACACCTGCACCCACGGGACAGCAGGGCAGGGGGGCAGCGGGGCAACGGGAATCGGCATACGCATACGCATACGCGTAGGCATACTTAAAGCCCGCACCCCCAAAAACCCGCACCGCCAAAACCTGTAACCCCAAGTCCCGCATCCGTAAAAGCCGCACGACATCTGCACCCTCAAAACATCTGCAATGGCACGAGAGACGGGGGTCGAAGGCGAGGAAAGAGAGACAGGCGCGGCGCACGCGCGCACGCGCGCGGTGCGGCATCATCATCATCATCAGCATTGGAAGGGGAGAGGGGGTTTGAAGGCGAGGAAAGTGGGAGAGGACGGACCTTGCCCATGTTGTGGGCGGCATAGGCTTGCAGCAGCTGCAGGCAGAAGTGGAAGAGCTGCGCCGTGTCGTCCGCATTGAGGAAGAGAATCTGCGAATCCACCCACACCGCCATGAACTTGAGAATCACAAACACCACCTGGGGCTGCAGGGGGGAAGGGAGTGGGGGGGGAGGAGTGCGCACAGACAGCTAACTATAAGGATCACACACAGCACACGGGGCTGCAGGCACGTGAGCCGAAGGAGATGGATGCATGTGAGCGCATGCATCTATGCACAGTGGATGGGTGCGCACATGCACACATGCTCCATGCAGCAAGACATGTGCAAGCAAGGTCAACCCATGCAGCAGTGTTACCTCGTGTCTGTAGGCGGAGAGCGCTGTGAGGATGGGCGTGGCAGCGGAGAGGCCAAACTGGAAGAGCACTCGCTGCGAGTGCGGGAGAGTGGCGCTCGCACACCCCCTCATGCACTCCAGTAGCCCCACCACCTGACACGCACACACGCCACAGGACATGAGGACGCAGGTGGGGAAGGGGGGAGAGCGCGTATTCAACAAGCTAGGAAATCTAAAACCCTGGCGGTAGAGTGAGTGAATGAGCACACACAGTGGCACTGGCCGGGACAAAATCAAGTCGAATGTGGAATGCAGAATGACAGAGCACACACAATGACGCTGGCCGGCACAATCTCCCCGACGATGCCTCTTCCCCTTCTTCCCCCCGTTCCCCCCTCTTGCCCCCAACCCCCTTGACCCCCCGTGTTCCCCTCACACCCCCTGCTTCAGCTCAGCGGGCACGGCACCTGGAACATGACTTGCGGGCGGTGCGCCGTGGCGGGGAAGTCAGGGCGGGACGTTATGCCGTGCAGCGACGCCAGCAGCGGCTGCAGCAGCTGCTGCACCACTCTGAAGGGGGGAGAGGGGGGGGGGAGGAGAGGGGGGTAGGAGAGCAGCGGAGAGTGCGAAGAAAAGAAAGGCGAAGTGAGGAAAATGCTGCACAGGCAGTGAAAATGCAGGAGGGGACGCAGGACAGGAATGGGGGGAGAACGGGGGCGAGAGGGCAGAGTTAGAAGGATAGTTGGCACGGGCAATGGCATGGACGGAGTCTATTTTTGAGACGCCTCAAAAATAGACTCCTCAGTTGGCATGGGGCAATGGCATGGACGGGAGACGCACTGATGGCAGGAGTGGCCCTCCTTGCTGCTGCTGGCTGCACGGCACAGCACATGTGCCAGCGACCGCTGCGGATAGAGGAGAACGGAGGGGAGGACGAGACGGGGAAAGATGAGTCGGAGTGCATGTGGTAAATTAGCCACTGGTTGAGAGATGACGAGGCGATGAAAGAACATAGCAAGCAATGGGGAGGGACGGAGGGAGGGACGACGGAGGGACGGGGGAGGGAGGAGCGAGGAAGGGAGGTACCTGCAGAGGGCCAGGGAGAGATGCGACAGCAGAGTCCCGTGTTTTGAATGCCTCCTCTAGCATCGCCCATGGGGGCTGCCAGCACAAGGGCGCGGGGGTTGGTGAGGGATGCAGAGTGAAAATAGGTGGGGGGATGGGGTGGCGGAGAAAGGGAAGGGAAGGTGGAAGTCTTGAACCATTAGAGGCAAGACAGGGGAAAGGGAAGGGGAGACGGTAAAGGTACTACACACTAAAGGTATTTCTTTTAAACTGAACCGGAGGGGGTCAGGTGAATGAGGGACTACAGTCGTGAATTGCCAAAGCACGGCCACCGCACTCCACCCACCAGATGTCTGAGGTACGCAGCCATGTAGGGGCGGCGCGTGACGGCGAGCAGCAATGTGCGGCACACGCTGCTCTGCACGTCGGGCTCCCCCAGCCACGCACTGAGCGCCGCCACGCCCGCCCTCAGCACGCCCTCCAGCACCGCCAGACCCCCCTGCCCCTCCCCCGCCCCGAACGCCTGCACAAACGCCCCGCCCGCTGCTGCTGACGCGAGGGAGGTGTCTCCAGGGGGCAGCGAGGCGGAGAGAGGTGGGGGGTCAGTGTCAGGGTCGAACGGAGGGGGGTTGGCGTCGGGCGGTTGGGGCAGGAGGTAGGTGAGCGACCAGCGGGAGAAGAACCAGAGGAAGGACTGTGCGGGCGGGGGGGAGATTGGGGATTGATATGGGGTAAGTAAATGGATACACGTGGACATGAGCTCTGGGAGGACGTGCCTGAGACATGAGATGTTGAAACGCCCTGATTGCTATCATGCCACGCCTGTCTCCATCCGTCTCCCCTCACCTCCATGAGGCGGGGGCTCAGCACCGTTGCCACAGCAGATGGGTTGAGCACCAGAGACGCCACCTCCAGTATGCTCCTGGGGAATGGATGGATGGTTGACAGTTGTTCAGTTGAAGGGGTGGGCAGGACACCAGAGACAACGCAAGCATGCATTTGGTTCAAAGTCGTCTCAGGAACAGGTGGAATTTAGGAGGAGAAAACGACACAGGAGCGGGAAGGTAGGGACTAGAGGACCGGAGTAAGGGGTGGATCGAGACACTGTCGAACGAGGGACTTGAAGAGTGATAGGAAGTGATGGCAGGGGTGGCGGCGCTGACATTGGCAGGGACGTGGTGAGAGCAGTGAGCGAGTGCGCGTGGTGGGAGTTGAGCTCGTGCACTAGGAACACTGGCAGCTGCACGGGGAACACACAGGGGGTGGAGGGAGAGAGAAAGGAGATGAAGGAACCGGACTAAAGGGCGCGCATTCATGCATGCTAACCTGCACGAGCCAGAAAGGAAATAGGGCAGAACGAGTGACAACAACACATGTCACCATTCTTTCCGGGTCCCTTGAGACTTATACTCTGGGAACACCAAATACACTGGTACCTCGGGCGTCTCCCCCGTGCCTTCATCTGCCAGCACATATCCCACCATGCGCACCGTCCACTGCACCTGCTCCATCACCCGCTCCACCTCGCCCCCGCCCGCCCCACCACCCCCCGCTGCTGCTGCTGCTGCTGCTGCATCTGCTGCCTGCACACACAAGGCACAACATCAGAAACAAACAACAAGTTGCTGCCGCAAGATGGAAGAAGCTTTGGCCCTGACGTGTGCATCGTGTGCTCATGAGGTGCATGAGTGAGCTTGTGCCGGATGTACGTTTGCCTTGCGTGCGATTGCCCTGCGTGCGGTGTGAGAAAGCATGTGTGCTCCTGTGCATGCATGCATGACTAGCAAGAACCCCCACCTGGAGCAGCAGCGCCTTCTGGTGGGTGAGCAGGTCGTTGAGCAGAGGAAGGGATGCCTGTAGTGACGCCCGGGCTAGCGATGCCGCTGCTGCCATGCGCTGCTCCTGGGCTGCGGGGGAAGTGGGGAGGATCAAGAAAAGTCCGGTGTGCGGGAAGCATACCATAGAAACTGGTGCAGGATGAACACACAAACCCACTATTACAGCGCAGTGTATGGTGTATAATATTTGGTCTTTGGTGTATTGTGTTCGGTGTATGGTGTATAATGTCTGGTGTTTAGTGTACTGTGTTTGTTGTATGGTGTATGCTGTATGGTGTATCGTGTTAATGATTAGAATTTGGCATAAAGTGTTTGGTGTATGGCATTTCCTGTGCCACTACCAACCCCCCATTTCCCCCCATACCCCCATGTCTGGTTTTGGTGTCCGGTCTCCTTTGACCGAGGAGCTTTCGGCCGGAGTACTTCCGACCGAAGTGCTTCCGACCGGAGTGCTTCCGACTGGAGTGCTTCCGACCGGAGTGCTTCCGACCGGAGTGCTTCCGACCGGAGTGCTTCCGACCGGAGTGCTTCCGACCGGAGTGCTTTCGACCGGAGTGCTTTCGACCGGAGGGCTTTCGCGACCGGGGTGTGCTTTCGACCGGAGTGTTTTCGACCGGAGTGCTTCCGACCGAAGTGCTTTCGACCGAAGTGCTTTCGACCCGAGTGCTTCCGACCGAAGTGCTTCCGACCGGAGTGCTTCCGACTGGAGTGCTTCCGACCGGAGTGCTTCCCAACTGGAGTGCTTCCGACCGGAGTGTTTCCGACCGGAGTGCTTCCGACGGAAGTGCTTTCGACCGGAGTGCTTTTGACCGGAGTGCTTTCGCGACCGAGGTGTGCTTTTGACCGGAGTGCTTTCGACCGAAGTGCTTCCGACCGGAGTGCTTCCGACCGCTTCCGACCGGAGTGCTTCCGATCGGCGTGCTTCCGACCGGAGTGCTTCCGACCAGAGTGCTTTCGACCGGAGTGCTTCCGACCGGAGTGCTTTCAACCGGCGACCGAAGTGCTTCCGACCGGAGTGCTTTCGACCGGAGAGCTTTCGACCGGAGTGCTTTCGATCGGAGGGCGTTTGACCGGTGAGCATTCGACCGGTGAGCATTCGACCAGAGTGCTTTTGACCGGTGTGCTTTCGAGGGTGTGCTTTCGACTGGAGTGTTTTCGACCGGAGTGCTTTCGACCGGAGCTTTCGACTGGTGTGCTTTCCCGGTGAGCATTCAACTGGTGTGCTTTTGACCGGAGTGCTTTGGACTGGTGTGATTTCGACTGTGCTTTCGACCGGAGTGCTTCCAGCCGGTGAGCTTTCCATCGGTGTGCTTTCAACCGGTGTGCTTTCAACCGGTGTGCTTTTGATCGGTGTGCTTTCGACTGGTATGCTTTCGACCAGTGAGCTTTCGACGGGTGAGCTGTTGACCAGTGTCCGGTTACTGGTGTCTGGTGTCTCCTCTCCTCCCTCACAAGATATCCCACCTCTCCTCCCCCATGACCCCACATGTGCACACGCACCTTGCAGGGCAGCGTCCATGTTGTCTGCAGCATCCTCCTCCTCTAGAGCTGATGCCGCCGCCACTGAGAAACAAGACACAGCGTTGAAGGCACGGGCGGAGTGCAGGGAAACGGACAGATTCCGAATATGAAAAAGACAGAGAAGCAGGCAGTGAAACAAGGAGGGGAGACAGGAAATGGTTGCAGGCAGTGGTGGTACGAACAATGTGGTGCTGACACAGCAGATACCTTACAGGTGCTGACGCAAAGATTCCATTGCAGGTACCTTGCACGTGTTACCACAAAGGTACCTTGCAGGTGGTGTTGGGTGAAGGAGCGGAAGGCCTGAGCTGCCACGGGCGACACTGCGTGCATGAGGTGCGACCACTCCGCAGCTGCTGCCGCCTGCTGAGGTGACGTGGACGCAGGCCGCGAGATGACGTGGCACGAGATGCGAGACTCCAGCTGGCAGGATAAGTCAGCGCACGAAAGTGTGGGTTCAAGGTAGCAGAAGGATTCTGGGTTGACGGTAGAGAACACAAGGGCACAGAGAGGGAACAACAAACAAACGAGACGAGGCAACGGCAAGGATGGCGGCGAGAGCGGACAACAGGGAATCACGGAGGCGCGTGCAACGGTTCATCATGTGTGGAAGGCATACGGTGAGGAGGACGCCGAGCCAGGTGTCCAGCAGCAGATCGAGGGCGTGCGGCATGGGACCGTCCAGGGAGTCGTCGTCGCTGGCAGCGCCGTGCGCCAACACGCAACACGTGAGCTCGCCCAACAACGACAGCAGCGTGGGGGGTGGCGACGGACTGATGGGAGTGTGCAGGGTGAAAGGGGTGGGGGACGTGAGAGGAAAGAGAGGGGTGAGAGGGGAGAGAGGGGTGAGCAGGGTGAAAGGGGTGAAGCACATCCAAGAATGAGATGACGCCCTCATATCCCACGCCCCCATGCCCCATGCCCCCATGCCCCACGCCCCCATGCCCCACGCCCCCATGCCCCACGCCCCCATGCCCCACGCCCCCATGTCCCACGCCCCCATGTCTCACTCCCCCACGTCCCTCGCCCCCATATCCCACGCCCCCATGTCCCACGCCCCCATATCCCACGCCCCCATGTCCCACGCCCTCATATCCCATGGCAAAGCACCAGGAGGGATGGAGACGCGCACCCATTGGCAGAGCTGTTGGCGCTGGCATGTTGGGTGGAGGCAGGTGTGGTGGCAAGGAGAGGGTGCAGGCGAATGAGGGCTGCCAGCGCTCGACACACATCTAGCAGCTCCCTGCAGAGCGCCACAGGGGGGAGGTCGCAGAGGATTCAAAGGCAGGTGGCTGTAAAAGCCTTGTGCAATTGAACAAGCATGCTTAGGGCACCGAGCACCAACTACAGAGCCAACGGGGCCTGCTAAAACTGGTGACCGCAGCACAAAGATATGGAGAAGAGACGCATGCACATGATGCTACCTGCGCCCCACCTGTCTGAGATGCGAGCCCCACCTGTCTGAGATGCGAGCCCCACCTGTCTGAGATGCGAGCCTGGGCCACAGCAGCGACAGTGGCGGGCAGCGGGGAGAGCCACTGCAGCAGCAGAGCGAGCAGGCGACCCACGTGCATGCGCACAAGGGATTGGTCTGGGGAGAGGCACGGGCGGGAGAGAAGGGGAAGAGACGATTGAGACACCACCTAGCCGCCTCAACGCATGGACCCACCGCCCACCCGTCCACCGTCCACCGTCCACCATCCACCCATCCACCGTCCACCCGTCCACCGTCCACCGTCCACCCGTAGACGCCCTCCACCGTCCACCGTTCACCGGTGGACACCGTCCACCGTCCAACGTCCACCGTCCACCATCCACCGGTGGACGCCGTCCAACGTCCACCCTCCTCCATCCACCGTCCATCGTCCACGGGTAGACGCCGTCCACCGTCAATCATCCACCGTCCACCGTCCACCGTCCTCTGGTGGACGCCGTCCACCGTCCACCTTCCACCGTCCACGGCCCACAGGTGGACGCCGTCCACCGTCCACCGTCCACCGTCCACCATCCACCTTCCACAGTCCACCGTCCACCAATCACCGGTGGACGCCGTCTACCGTCCACCGGTGGTCGCCGTCCACCGTCCACCGCCGTCCACTGTCCACCGTCCACCATCCAGCGTCCACCATCCAGCGTCCACCGTCGACCGTCCACCGGTGGTCGCTGTCCACTGTCCACCGGTGGATGCCTTCCACCGTCCACCATCCACCGGTGGACGCCGTCCACCGTCTACCATCCACCGTCCACCGTCCACCGTCTACCGTCCACCTTCCACTGTCCACCGTCCACCGGTGGACGCCGTCCACCGTCCACCGGCTAACGGTGGACGCCCTCCACCGTCCACCGTCCACCGTCTACCATCCACCGTCCACCGTCCAGCGTCCACCGGTGGACGCCGTCCATCGTCCACCGTACACCGTCCACTGCCAACATCGGTGGACCTAGTCCACCATCCACCATCCACCGTCCACCGTCCACTGGTGGATGCCGTCCACCGTCCACTATCCACCGTCCACCGTCGGACACCGTCCACTGGCCACCGATGGACGTCGTCCACCGTCCACTGGCCACCGATGGACGTCGTCCACCGTCCACCGGTGGACGCCGTCCACTGTCCACCATCCACTATCCACCGTCCACCGTCCACCGATGGACGCCAACCAACGTCCACCGTCCACCGTCCAGCCGTCCACCGTCCACCGGTGGACGACGTCCACTGTCCACCGTCCACCGTCCACCGGCCACCGGTGGACGCCGTCCACATCCACCGTCCACCGGTGGACACCCGCCGCCGTCCACCGTCCCCCGTCCACTGGTGGACACCCGCCACCGTCCACCGTCCCCCGTTCACCGGTGGACGCCGTCTCGTCCACCGTCCACCGTCCACCATCCATTGTCCACCGTCCACCGGTGGACGCCGTCCACCATCCACCGTCCATCGGTGGACGCCGTCCACCATCCACCGTCCACCGGTGGACGCCGTTCACCATCCACCGTCCATCGGTGGACGCCGTCCACCGTGCACCATCCACCGGTAGACGCCACCACCGTCCACCGTCCACCATCCACTGGTGGGTGTCGTCCACCGTCCAGCCGTCCATCGTCCACCGGTGGACGCCGTCCACAGCCCACCGTCCACCGTCCACCGGCCACCGGTGGACGCCGTCCACATCCACCGTCCACCGTCCACCTAAGTGGGAAAATTCGCGTTTCGCGTAAATTTGCTAACGAATTTACGCTGGCGTAAATTCGCCCGAACGCCAGGGCCCTGTTTTTAATTCGTTAAAAATTCGTTCCTCCCGGGCAGGAAAAAAATGCCCGGGCAGGCCCAAAAAAAGCTTCCAGGTAGGGGGGCGTGGGGGGTTTCAGGGCAACTCTTTTTAAGCAAGAAAAAATTAGCACCAAATAATTATTGCTTCTCAAAGCGTATGGCAATAGCATGTTCTAGAGTTTGGGAGGGATCCTTCGCAACAACAGCCCTGCAAAAACCTACAGCAACATCATGAACCATACTCGTGAGGTAAGCTAATGTCTATGCTTAAACTAGTTTTACTAGCTCGGACGCGGAGGAGTGATTAGCTAGATCTACTCTATGTCTGGTAGAGTAGCGTGTGAGATGTGTGATATAGTTGCGTAAGTTGTGTTGGGTGGTGGATGGGTTGGGTTATCTAGATGCGGTGGGGTTTGATGCGGTTGGGAGCGTGGGAGGGGTTGGGAGCATGTTTGGAGGTTCAAAAGTTAGAATCGCAAATTGGTGAGGCCACCGATGGCTTCGCCAAGTCTTCACGAATCGAGTGGGAAAATTCCCGTTTTTCTGTCCAGGCTGCCCGGAATTTTTCTCCCAAGCGTTTCACGAATTTCAGGTAAATTCGCAAACGTGAATTCACGCTCACGAATTTACGCAAAACGCTGGGGGACCTCAACGAATTTTCCCACTAAGCCGTCCACCAGTGGACGCCCGCCACCGTCCACCGTCCACCGGTGGACGCCGTCCCGTCCACCGTTCACCGTCCACCATCCACCGTCCACCGTCCACCGTCCATCGGTGGGCGTCGTCCACCGTGCACCGTCCACCATCCACCGGTAGACGCCGCCACCGTCCACCGTCCACCATCCACCGTCCACTATCCTCCGTCCACCGTCCACCGGTGGACGCTGTCCACCGTCCACCGTCCACCGTGCACCTGTGGACGCCGTCCACTGTCCACCGTGGCATGACAAGGCGTGGCACGTCTTGACATGGTGTGTTACCGGCAGCAGTGAGGGCGGGGCCGTGCAGCGAGCAGAGCAGCACGGCCACCTGTCGGGAGCGTTCGGCCAGCGGCCCCTCCCGCCAATCGAGCCCCGGCGCACACGTGTGCGGCAGGGACGAGTACACCGACGCCAGCAGCGACAGCAGCTCAGCCGACAGCAGCAGAGGCAGCCACTCGTTCGGGGGCTGTGGGGAGAAGCGGGGCCGGGTACGGCGGTTGGAAGGGGACCGGGGAAGAAGAGATGGAGGAAGGAGCGGGGGCGGGGTATGAGAGGGATGGGGAAAGGTGCTGAGGGGGGGTGAGCTGCAGGCCGTTGGCAGAAAGGCATGCCATGCCTAATGTTGAGATTGTTTCACCTGAGTTTGTGGTTATCACCGAGGTATGTGTCATACGGACGGTCACCTGCACGGTGTGCATGTCGGAGGAGGAGCGTGCAGTGGGCTGCGAGCCGTCGTCGCTGCCCTTACTCTTAGATGCGCGCGCACTGCCTGCCACATGAGGGGCAGGGCGAAAGACGCATGGGGACACACATGCCTGAGGCTGCAGCACAGGTTGCGCATGCATGTGAGCGCATAATTGTGCGCATGCAGCAATATCAACAATCGTGTGTGTGTGTGTGTGTGTACCAGAAACCAGCGTGGGTGGGCGAGAAGGGCATAAGAGCAGGGGGGCTGACTGACCGCCGGTGAAGTCCCATGAGAGCACAGCAATGAGCACACTCAGTGCTGCCGCCACCACTGCCTGGCTGCTGCCTGCCCACACCACCACCGCGCCCTGCGCCTGCGCCTGCCCCTGCCCCTGCCCCTGCGCTTGAGCAGCCTCAGCCTGTGACTTCACTGCTGCCATGTGTGCCGCCACTGCATCCACACACACCATCAGCACTGGCTGGGGGGGGGAGGGGAGAGGGGAGGGGAAAAACAAGAGGGACAAATGCAGTGTGTCAGGTGGGCCCACAACATGTAGCACCGAGCGGAGTGGGAAACACAGGAGAGGGAGGAATGAGGAAGAGAACAATGGCATGGCAAGGAGTGCTGCGGGGAAGCAGCAAGGGAGAAATGGATGGGTGTTGTGGGCGAAGCATGGCGGCCCACCATGAGGAAGTGGCGCTGAAAGTCGATGCGGCAGCGGTTGTGGAAGTCAGATGGCATGGCCAAAGGCGTCGCACTGCCAGGGTTGAACTCACTCACCTGGAGGAGAAGGGGAGGGGAAGGGAAGAGAGGAGATAGTATGGAGCTGAGGGCACGAGAGGGATATTGGCTGGAATCTAAGAAGGGCACCGGTGGAAATGAGAGGATTGAAAGGAATGTGGAGCAGGAGTGATGGGCACGCATGGTAGTGAATGGGTGCGAGCTGTGCGGTATGTCAAATGGCATGCGACGCAGCAGCAGCAGCAGCAGGACACGGCATAACATAGCACGGCATAATAGGGCATGAGCGGAACTGACGAGGGCGTCGAGCAGGGAGAACGCCGCTCGTTGCACTGCAGGTCCCCTCGATCCTGATGCCAGGTCTCGGAGCTGATGGGGGAGAGATGAGGGCGTGCAGACGGTGGTAAGTAGTGAGAAGAGGCACACATAGGCAGGAGAGAAACACAAAGAGAGGGACCTGCTGATATGCTTGATACCACAGGAATGACAGGGACTGCGCGGGTGTGTGCTGGTTCGTGGCAGTGGTGCATGCACCGCGTGGCAGGGACACCAGCAGGAGGGGGGAGGTTGCATGACACATGGCAGCTGTATGTATGACGCATGAGCACACGTACAGAGGAGAAGAGATCCGACTTGTAGTTGTCATCCACATCCAACCTGCACGCACACATATGCACACGAGCGCAGCTGTGATGTGAGCCAATCATACGAACGAGTGTGCAAGCAGCAACAAGAAAGAAACAGGGGGTGCAGTCACGATCCCTGGAGCTACAGGAAGCACTTAAACAAGGTAGAGCCTTTGACCAAGACGATGCACGGCACGGGAGGGTAGAAGAGTGGTGGTGCATACCAGGCCCGCTTGACGAGCACGGCGAGCACGCCCACCATCTTGTGCTCCACAAACGCATCGCCTCCCCCCGCCTGCCCCTGCGCCTCCTCCCTGGCTGCTGCGCGCCCCACTATGTGGTCCACGCAGTACCTGCCACGGAGAGTGACGGAAAGTAGGGCACAATGTGAGCGCACACATGCCAGTGTCAATGGGAACGAGAAGGCGCCACTGACAGCGGGTGTAGGGCTATCAGGTGCCGCATTTATGGTGAGGTGAAAGGCATGAGAGCAGCAGAGCAATGCAGCAGGTGACACCTGGCGGTACCCATGGGACAGCACATGAGACGCAGGGCACTGGCACATGATGCAGGTGGCACTAGCACATCGGTTCGGGTGCGGAGTACCGGTGCAGCGAGGTGTGGTCGGCGGTGGGGATGCGTGGCCAGTCGCGCAGCACCACTTGCTGCAGGGTTGCAGCAGCCTGGAAGCACGCCACTGGGTTGCGCGAGTTGTCTGCGATGGGGGTTGGGGGGTTAGGGGGGAAAGGGTTAGGGGGTTTTGGGGGGGTAGTCAGGGTCAAGGGTTTAGTGGGTCCGGGTTCAAGTATGGCGGGCAGCAGGGATGGGAGAGGGAGGCGGGAGGATGGGCAGGGGAGGATGAGAGGGAGTGCCAGTGGGATGACAAATGGCTGCCTCTTTGCCTCATGTGCTGGTATCTGCTGCTCTACAACATGCACATGCCTGCTAGTGTGAAAGGGACGACGGGTTCTGGTTGGAGTGCCATGCGTCTCCAGTCATGCATGCGTGCATGTAGGTGTAGGTGAACGCATTTATGCGCATGGGTAGGGAATGAGCGTACCAAGTATGTGCGTGCATGCTTGCAGTGCATGGGGTGATTTCCTCAATTCCAGCAGCGTTGCCTCCGCTGCTGCTCTCCTCTCAGGGACCTGCACACAACCATTCATGCCATGCCATGACATACCATGACGTGACATGCCATGCCATCATACATCATACCATGACATGCCATGCCATCATACATCATACCATGACATGCCATGCCATCATACATCATACCATGACATGCCATGCCATCATACATCATACCATGACATGCCATGCCATCATACATCATACCATGACATGCCATGCCATCATACATCATACCATGACATGCCATGCCATCATACATCATACCATGACATGCCATGCCATCATACATCCTACCATAACATGCGATGCCATCATACATCATACCATGACATGCGATGCCATCATACATCATACCATGACATGCCATGCCATCATACATCATACCATGACATGCGATGCCATCATACATCATACCATGACATGCCATGCCATCATACATCATACCATGACACGCCATGCCATCATACATCATACCATGGCATACCAGACCATTCAATATCAGGGCGTGTCATGGCATGATCTCCAGACGCGTGTCTCCATGCACCCACCGTACCTGTCGACTCATCCTCACCTCAACCGCTCTCTGCTCTCAAAGCACGCACCTTCCCTGTCCCCTAGTTCTCGCTCTCCTCGCCCGTATCCCAAATGCACGAATCTCTCTTCTTTGGGTGGCACTCCCAGTTGGAAAAGAAGAATAACCACCTAATCGCTCCGCCCATCACCGCCCAGCAATACCATGCTTCGCAGCACGTCTCAATCGGGGAGAATTAGAAACCTAATCGGTCACCTGCAGGTCGTTGCACGCCGCTTCCACGCTCTGCAGCACGCCCTCCATGGCCGCCCCGCCACAACCAGACACGTACACCGCCTAAACTGGAATACACTGCGCGCCGAGCCTCGCGGCCGTTAAGACTCGCGCTCAACCCAAACCGCCAGCGTGCGCCGTTCCAAGAGCGCGAAGGCGACTAGTCGGACGCATAGATTAGATGCAGCTCCAAGACGAAGAGCGCCAGCCGGTGCTGCTTATCACCATCGTCATCTCGCCGCGCTTACTCCATCGCCGCACAACCAGACTTTCCCAAATGCTCTGCGCGACGGAATGTCCCTGCGGAATGGCCGGCTCGCGCGCGGAAATGCATCGACGGAAGGATTAGGGTTGGTGGGGACGAGCCATGGCGAGCAATTTAGAGACACCTAGGAATATTGAAGTTTATGCGTGGACTGGCTGATGGCAATGAGAGGAGAGGAGCTGCAAGCTTGAAATGCTCAGGGGCTTGGGGCGGGAAAGAGATTTGAATACTTGGAAATGCTGTGTTTCATGATGCGCCTGTATGCCTTGCTCAAAATTCGTCGTTGTGCATATTTTGCAGAACCGATTCAGTGTAGTTCTCTACGTGTAGCCAATACTGTTCCCCGCGAACGCAATGGCGGGGATGTGTGTCTGACAGCTATGGTAACCACCCGCGAGTCTTCGCCGTCGTCCCGTCAGCAGTAGTGCCTCTGCGACGTGGCAGTGTCGGCTGTCGTTCGGCGACGGCAGGCTGGCACGCCCAGCCCACGTGTGAGGCGACCATACGCGCCACATCGCAGAGCCGCTGCTTTGCGAAACTTTTTCTGTCGTGCGGCTCCTAGATTCCAGAGCCTGCCTGCTGCTCCGGGATATTGTGGACAAATCTTTCGTACAGCTAGTGTAGTGCTGCGCCTCCTGTGACTCGAGCCTGTCAGGCCTGCTGCCAAAGCCTCACAAATCCACATCTCCGAATCCTCTCATTTAAAATCCAGCCTCTTCACTTGAACCCGCGCCCTACAGGTCACATTTCCTTCCGAAATAATTCTTGCACCCGCCGCGCAAACGTGACACGAATTCTGCCCACAGACCTCTGCTAGTCTCGTTACCGCCGCCACCGCACACCACTCTCCGTGCCGCCGCGTGACGGCGTGTCGTCGCTCTCTCCAGTCTCAATGTTGCCCGCACCGTCCGCACGCCTCGTAACGCGTAGGCCCTCTCTAGTGTATCTCCCCTCGCTAGTATCTCCCGTCGCTGGTATCTCCCTTTTCAAATCTACTGACCCATTCAGTATCGTGCTTCCGCTTATACCGGTTTCCAAGAAACTAAGGATTTCCGATTTTTCTTAGCCTGTCTTCGCGAACGTTCACCCCCAAGTCCGCCCTTTCGGCCTCTCTCCTACCCACTCACGCTCCTACCCACTCACGCTCCTACCCACTCTTCCCCCCATCCCTCACTCCCATCCCTCCCCACACTCCTCCCCACCGCATTCAGCGCCGCGACTCCCGCCACGTCATCTTCTGCCGCCCCTTCCGGCCGCGCGCATGTCCGACCCGCCCTTCCACGCGCGGCCGACCGCCTGGCAGCGCCTGGCCTCGCGTGGAATGCGCGCATGGCTGGGCGGCGGCGCAGCCGGCAGGGGGAAGAGCGGAGCGGAGCGGCGGATGGGCGGAGAAGCGGGGGGGACCGGGCGGGGAGAGCGGGTGGTGGCAATGGCGGAACGAAGCGGGGAGTACGCGGAGGAGGATGCGCTGGATGGGGGGAGAGGTAGGTGAGGTGACTGGGGGCAGTGGGGGTGACATGGGAGTGTGCGACAGGGGGGCGACATGCCATAGACGAGTCACGACATTACTCCCTACACCTTTTATTACTCCTTCCTCCCCTCCCCTCTTCCCGTCATTCTTCTTCTTACTGGTCCGATCCCCCTTCGCCTTTTCCCGCTCCCCACATCCCCCGTCTTCCCCCCCCCTCCCATTACCCTCCGCGAGTGCCCCAGCTGCTGCTGATGGCAGACAGGGGGGAGCGGAAGGGGGGGACAGGGAGAAGCGGACGGGGGAGAGAGGCGGGGATGTAGCGGCGCAAGCGAGGAGGAAGGAAGGGGTGTGGAGATGGGGGGAGAAAGTTGCAGTGGGGGCAGAGAGGGAGGGGTTGATGGGAGGGGGGGGTGGAGGAGGAGAGGGGCAGGGGTTGAGGCGGCAGGAGTATGAGCGGCTCTTCTCAACCCTGAACGAAGCCAACACGGGGCACGAACCAGGCGAGTGGTGGTGCTTGTTTGGTGCCACATACTACGTGGTTGCTGCCTGGAACCAGTCCATCTGTACTCTCCTTCTACTCAATACAACGGACCAATTGGGAAGCTGAGTGCACCGGTGCTCCCTGCGCCTTGCATGCCATACCATGCGTACTGCACTGCTCAGTGCTTCCTCTGTACCGCACACGTCCCCATGTTCATCCCGGCACCTCTGCTAGTATTCCCATCTATCCCCTCGCTTCCTTTTCCCTCTTTTCACACACATGCACGCCTCCCTCTCTCCCTCTTCCTCTCCCTCTCCCTCTCCCTCTCCCTCCCCACGCCCCACGTGCTCGCCCCATGGCAGGCAGTCTGCTCAGCTCCACTCTGCTCGTTGCCGGCACCACGGTACGCTCTCTCCCCTCCTCGCTCTCTCTCTCGCTGCGCAACGCTTCTCTCTCGCCCCCCCACCAACCAAGGTCTGTTCGCCACGCTCCTCCCATCGTGTCTCCTCTTTGCCTCGTTTCCCGTCCCCCCCCGGTCCCCCTTGCACCCCTCTCCCCATCGCCCCTCCCCCTCTGGCCAGGTGGGGGCGGGCATTCTGGCTCTCCCGGCGGTGACCAGCGAGGCGGGCTTCCTGCCCTCCTCCGCCACCTGCATCGTCTGCTGGCTCTACATGGTGCAGTACATAGGGCAGGTGTTTTTTGAGTCGACTCAAAAATCACATGGTGCAGTGCATAGGGCGGGGACTGTAGGAATGCCCACTGCTGCGCATTGACCAGATGCCCACTGCTGTGGGGAGGGAGGGACCCTTTGCAACCCCACCATTGAGCGACTTTTGAGTCGACTCAAAGGTCGCTGCTGGAACTCCCATTGCACGTGATCACAGTGCAGCCCCTGTGATCACAGTGCAGCCCCTTTGATCACAGTGCAGCCCCTTTGATCACAGTGCAGCCCCTTTGATCACAGTGCAGCCCCTTTGATCACAGTGCAGCCCCTTTGATCACAGTGCAGCCCCTTTGACCACAGTGCAGCCCCTTTGATCACAGTGCAGCCCCTTTGATCACAGTGCAGCCCCTTTGATCACAGTGCAGCCCCTTTGATCTCGAACACCTGCCTCAGTAACCCATCTCTCGTCCGCTGTCTCTCTACCTTCCCCTCTCTTTCACTCACTCTCACTCTCTCCCTCTCTCACTGCCATCACGTGGTGCAATGCGGCCATCAGGTGGCGACGGGCATGCTGATAGCGGAGGTGAATGTCAACACCATGTGCGAGCTCGGATCAGGAGGCGTGTCATTGGTAACTCCCTGGCTCAAACAAAACGACACATGTCAAAGTCATGATGCCATGCCCACGTGTCTCCCTTCCATGCCATGCCGTCGCACGCCAAGCAGCTATTCCATTCCACGCCATGCTACATGCATTCTCATTGCGCCACAGGACCTTCTCCACCCACTACACCCACTTGCTATCCTCACGTCATGACGTCCCTATCTCTCTGCCTTACATATCCCTCTTGTCCCTTGGCCTCCCTCCTCGCTCCCTCCTCGCCCACTCTCTCCCCCGCGTGTCACCGCAGGTATCCATGGCAGAGCGGACCCTGGGCACGGCGGGTGTCAGGATAGCAGCCACCACGTACCTGCTCATCCACTACGCGGTCATCACCGCCTATGTCTCGCGCTCCGCTGACATCATCAGCAGTGTTGCCACCGTGCCGCATGGCGTCGCTGCGTCCTTGTTTACCCTCTCCTTTGGCGCGCTCTGCTACTTCGGCAGGTACTGCCCTGCTCTGCTCTCCCTTTCTGCTCTGCCCTCCTGCCCTCTCCCACCATCACGCTTTCCGATCACTTTCAGTGTCCCCGCCCTGCCCTCCACACAACATCACATGCCACATACTGCCCATATCCCTCCTCTCACTCGCTCAGCTCCCCCTCCACTCCCTCCTCCACCCTCCCTCCGTCCCTTCACACACCCCTCTCTGTGTGCAGCCAGCGGGCCATCGGCCTGGTGAACGGCCTCCTGGTGGGGGGCATAGTGCTGTCGTTCGGCTTCCTGCTGGCCTTCTCCCTCGCTGACATCCACCCGCAGGCGCTGCTCGCCGCCAACCTGGCTGCCGTGCCCGCCAGTGTCCCCATCATCGCGCTCTCCTTCGTCTACCAGGTGCGTGCCCTCATGCCCTCTCCTTTAAACGGTACACTACTACACTACACAGCATGCCTTTTCCCTCCCCTACTTTGTCCTCCCTGCCTGTTACTTCTGCTTTCAGCAGACACACTTACTCCTGCCTGTACCTTTGTCTGCTAACGCTCTCATCTCATCCTCACCCTCCTTTCCCTCTTCTCCTCTCCTACTTCTCTTCCCCCCCTCCCTGCGCTCGTCCTTCCTCCCTTCGTTCCCCCTCCCGCCCCCACCTCTGCATGGCGTCAGAACGTGGTGCCAGTGGTGGCAACGAATCTGGAGGGCAATTTGTCTCGCATCCGCACGGCCATTCTGGCCGGCACAGCGCTGCCCCTCGTCATGTTCCTGCTCTGGGATGCCGCTATCCTCGGCACCGCTCCCCTTCCCCCCACTCCTCAACCACTCACCGATGCCCTTGCCATGGGTTCCACTGCTGCTGCTGCTGCTCCTGCTGCCGCCGCCGCTGCCGTAGAAACCATGAGTGCTGTGGATCCGCTGGTTCGGCTGCAGCAGATTGACCCGTCTGTGGGGGTGAGATGCTGGGTTCGATCGTCCATGTTAGTTTGCAGGACATGCAGCGTGAATTGCATTGCTTGCAGCTCCCTTGCCTTGCGTCCTCCCCCCAACCTTCCACTGCCTCGTTGGCTTGTCTGCAGGCGACCCCCAATCACTCTCTTCCTCTTCGTCTCCTGTCCCTGTGTGAACCCCACCTCACCCACCCCATCCCACTGCATGCGCATGTGCATGTGTGTGCACATATGCAGGGAGCGGTGCAGCTGTTCTCCTTCTTCGCCATTGCCACTTCGTACATCGGCTTCATCCTCGGTCTCTCCGACTTCCTTGCAGACGGTACTAGCGCCTCCCTGCACGCACCACACAAGCACCCTGCCATCCCATCCTCCTCCTCTCCTGCTTTTTTTGCAGTTCCTATCTTGCTGTTATCCGCGTGGGCCGTCCTGCTTCCTGTATGCTAAATACCAAAACTCTGGAATCCCTTCAGCTGTTACCATTCAGGAGGATACAGTGTTCCGCCTCCCACTGCATCCCATCCCCCCCCATTGCCCATGCGATTACCACCCACCCCGCCCCCCATCCTGCAGCCCTCAAGCTGCCATCTGGTCGGGGGCGCACCCCTCTACCATACATCCTCACTCTCGCCCCGCCCCTCGCCTTCTCCCTCTCCAACCCCGACCTCTTCTTCACTGCTCTCGACCTAGCCGGCACATATGGAGGTGCGTTGTGGAAGGGGGGGTGGGGGGGAGGGGGAGGAAGGGGGAAGGGGAGGAGATACTGCATCAACCTGTCTGTCTGCGCGCACTCTACTTGGGAGCATGTGCTGCTTCAACCTGCTCGCCCCCAGGTGAAAACTTTTCTTCTTAACTCACCCATTATGCTAATGACCGCATGTGCTGCCTGCTGCTCTCCTCTGCCTCGTCTCCCCTGCCTCCATGCCTCCCTGCAGTGCTGGTGTTGTTCGGCATTCTGCCAGCAGCCATGGCATGGGTGGATCGCTCCTCCCTCCGCCTCTCCACAGACCAACCGCGCCTTGTCCCGGGAGGGAATGTCACGCTCACCCTCATCATCGGCTTTGCTCTCACTGTCATCATGAACGAGTTTCTTTCTAACTTCATCCACTGACGTTCACCACTTGTTAGTGGACGAGGCATGTATTATATTCAGTGAGAATAAGAGAGGCATCGTATTTTGTTTACTGAGTGTACACATACTAAATCTGATGCACTGCCACCCAGATCTGATGCGCCACAACCAGCAGCCTTGAATACTGCTAGCAGCATTTCGAAATGTGCGAACATCCACAACAGCTGCCTCCTTGTAGGGCATAGAAACTAAACTGATACCGATAAGCTCTAATCTACTTGATTGGTTATAGGAGATTATTGATGCGCCCTAAGCAAGAAATTGCATCCACATGCCTATGTTTCAGTCCTCATTCCTAAGCTGCTCTGTAGCGATTATAACCAATAGATGCATGCAACCGGCAAAGCACAACCAATAGTGCCAGTCATTGCGCCTTGTGGGCCCCTCTTGGCCATTAGGGGGGGGTACCTTTACTGTTCACTCGGGCACCGCGGTGAGGTGGGGGTCCATCGCCCGGGACCTGCTGGGGGGTAAAGGGCAGAGAGATGAGAGGAAAAGAGCAGAGAGATGAGAGGAAAAGAGCAGAGTGTTAAAATTATATAAGTTATAATTTAATATAGGCTTGGTAGGTTGTTACTGTACCTTTCTGTAGAGGGTACAAACCCCTTCTTGTACTCCTCTCTCTTCCTAATCAAACACCTTTCTTCTCGACATTCTCTCCCTTCCTAGATCCGTTTTTCCTCACGCCATTCCATGGCGGCCTTCTTCCTAGTATTCTAGCCAACCTAGCCTCCTAAGTTTAAGAACCTTGAGTCCTAAGTTTCTGAGATGGTATCAGAGCAGGTCGTGTCCACCGGACCCTCTCCCTACGTTCCCGTTGCGTACTCCTACTGCATTCGCTGCCTTCGCGGTTTTCTGCCTGCCTGCCGTCGCGGCACTAAGTTGTCGCGACGGCCCCTTGTTGCCTGCCGTCGCGGCGCCAGGATGTCGCGACGGCCCCTTGTTGCCTGCCGTCGCGGCACCAAGATGTCGCGACGGTCCCTCGTTGCCTACCGTCGCGGCGCCAAGGTGTCGCGACGGCCCCTTGGTGCAGCCGTCGCCCGTCCGCCTCGCCGCTGCAACATTGACGGTGCGCTGTGGCGGCGTCTGCGGCAGCCGACGGCATCGTCGGGCTGCGGCCGGCCGAGCGACGTCTGTGGCGTCGCCGGGCCTGCCGCCCGCTCGCCACAGACGGGCGTCCCTCAGGACGACGTCCTCCCGCCAGTAAGCGCCGCGCCATTTATGGCGCGTCGCTGAAGACTCGCCTCGCCCCGCCCCCTCCCCTCCCCCCCCCACCTGCACCTGCTTCCCCTGCATCCCCCCCTTTCTTGCTGCAGCCGATGACTGCCATGTGAGGGACCTCTCCACCGCCGAGGAGACAGGACATGCCGCCGAGAGGGCGGGGGCCGCCGCACCAGCCTCTGTCGTTCGAGCCCCCGGCGCCGCCGCTGTTGCCGCAGGCCTGGAGCCGCCGCACACCGCCGCCGCCGCCGCTGTCGTCACTGTCGCTGCTGCTGCCATTGCCGTCTCAAGGGGCCGTGAGACCTACCCTCTTCCGGAGTCGTTTCGGCTCCTGCTGGGAATGGGGGTGCTGGGCTAGGGGGTGTGGGTGTGGGTGTGGGTGTGGGTGTGGGGGTGTGCGTGGGCTTGACACTACCAAGCCTAGGGGGTGTGTTAAAATTATATAAGTTATAATTTAATATAGGCTTGGTAGGTTGTTACTGAACCTTTTTGTAGAGGGTACAAACCCCTTCTTGTACTCCTCTCTCTTCCTAATCAAACACCTTTCTTCTCGACATTCTCTCCCTTCCTAGATCCGTTTTTCCTCACGCCATTCCATGGCGGCCTTCTTCCTAGTATTCTAGCCAACCTAGCCTCCTAAGTTTAAGAACCTTGAGTCCTAAGTTTCTGAGACAGAGAGATGAGAGGAAAAGAGCAGAGAGATGAGAGGAAAAGAGCAGAGAGATGAGAGGAAAAGAGCAGAGAGATGAGATGAAAAGAGCAGAGAGATGAGAGGAAAAGAGCAGAGAGATGAGAGGAAAAGAGCAGAGAGATGAGAGGAAAAGAGCAGAGAGATGAGGAGAGAAGAGTGATCCTCCCCACCAGGGGGCAGAGAGGATCCGCCTCAGTCGACGTTGCCTCCAGCCATCTGCCTCCTCACACGCTCAAGCTTGGGCCTCTGCCCCGCACGGGCCACTGCCCCTACCCCACCTACCCCAAACCTTACCTGACAGTGGACGAAACGATACTGACCAGCCAGTTTCAGTGCCGTCTGTACTGTCTTTGCTGGCTGTGCTGTCTGTGCTGTCTGTGCTGTCTGTGCTGTCTGTGCTGTCTGTGCTGTCTGTGCTGTCTGTTCTGTCTGTGCTGTCTTTGCTGTCTGTTAGTCTGTTGGCGAGAAGGATGGAGGAGGGGTGGGTGGTGGTAGGGGTGGCATGGAATGGAGGAGGCGGACGGCTGAAAAGTGGAGGGTGTAGAGGTGGAGGGGTGAGGGTGGAGGGATGAGGGTGGAGGGGTGAGGGTGGAGGGGTGAGGGTGGAGGGGTGAGGGTGGAGGGGTGAGAGTTGGAGGGATGAAGGGTGGAGGGCTGAAAGGTGGGCGGAGGGCTGAAGGTGGAGGGCTGAAATGTGGGCGGAAAGGTGGAGGGCGGAAAGTTGGAGGGCGGAATGGCAGCTGCATCACATGGCAGAGCAATCTCTGCTGCTGCATCTGCTGCCCGATAGAGGACTAATGCTGCTGCTGGCAGAATGCTGTGCTGGTCGGGGTGCTGGTGGGTGGTGAAATGCTGGTGGTGCTGGCGGTTGCTGCATCCGCTGCCACAAACATTGCTGCTGATATTTGGTGGGAAGAGGAAGAGGGGGAGGAGGAAGAGGATGGGGGCAGTGGCGGGATGGGACCCACACACACCTTGTGCTCCCTGCTGCAGCCACACCTTCCCTCCTCGTCCTGGCGCACTCCTCTCCTGCTGCCACCATCCTTGCAAGGTACGCCGGCACTGCCGAGGTACAGCGGAGCCTTTCTGCGCCCTGCACCACACCACACAACAGGGTGGTGAAAAGAGCTATGAGGCAAATTGAGCTATGTGTTGATGTAATGGTAATGGTAAGAGAGCGAGAAACATGACTTAAAACCAAGCTTACCATCTTGATGGTTATGGCGCCCTCCAAAAAAGACTCCTTGCTTCTCCCGGTGGGAACTACACACAGACACGTGTAGTGTGCCTCAAAGGCTGATGGGGCTGACGAGGGTCAGAGGGGAGGGATGCCCACTGCTGCAGCCAGGACGGCATGCATGCACATGGCCGTGACCCTGCTGCCCACTACCTTCTGCTCCATGCTGCTGCTGCTTGCTGCTTTGCATTGGCTAGCAACATTTTCTCTCCTGGTGCCGCTTGCACCAGCAGCAACCACCAGCAGCAACCACCAGCAGCAACCATCGCCAGCAGCAACCACCAGCAGCAACCATCACCAGCAGCAGCAACCATCACCAGCAGCAGCAACCATCACCACCAGCAGCAACCATCGCCAGCAGCAGCCACCATCGCCAGCAGCAGCCACCAGCTCCCCCTCGAACAGGAGCCATAAGGCAGACGCCACGTCATTGCTCTCGTGCTCCACTTTCCCTGCTTTCCCAGCATCTGCACTGAGGCTTCCACTCTTTCTCCCACTCTCTCCGCCAACCCTCCTTCCCCCTTCCTCTCTCCCCCTCCTCAGGTACACTCAGCGCGGGTCGTGCATCAAGGGGGGGCAGCAGCACCTGCAATGAGGCGGCATGGGAAGGTGTGCTCCCCTTCCCCCCCGTACCCCCTCTCCGCCCCCTCCCGACTCATCCCCTCCCCTCCCCTCCTCTCAGGTCCCCGAAGCAGAAGAGAAGTCGCCAACACTCCAACACTCCCGGACTGGTAAGCACCTCATCCTCTCCCTCCCCTTCTCGTCGACCCTTTTCATGCTTCCTGCCCTCTCTTTTGCTCCTGCTCGTAGCTTCTCCCCCCCCCTCCCTCTCCCCCCCACCCCCCCTTCTACCCCCCTCCCCCTCCTTTCTCCGCCCCCTCTCCCCGTCCCCCACCCCTCCCTCCCCTCAGATACCCAGAGAGGAACGGAAGCCGTCAACACTCCAAGACCGGTCGGCACCCCTCGCACCTCACCTTTCCCTTCCCTTCTCCTCGACCCTTTCGCTCTTCCTGCCCTTTGCTTTCTTCTGCTCGTCGTCACTTTTCACTCCTCTGGCTCTTGCCGTCCTCTTTTCTCTCCTCTGCCGTTGATGTCCTCTCTGCTGGCCCTTGTCCTCCCCTCAGATGTTGGCTCTGGCAGCACTCGAGGGAGGCAGGAGCTGCCACAGCAGGTATGGGCAGCAGGGAGAAGCAAGAAAGGAGCCAGCTTCTCTTCAGGTAAGGACCTAGCTCTCCCCTGTTCTCCTCCCTTCCCTTACTCGCGCTCTTTAGTCCTCAACTCACCTCGTTTCTCAGTGCTGTTCTCGCTTTTCAATCCCTGTCTTGTCATAACCCGTCTTTTTTCTCCCCTACTTTTCTCACTTCCTCCCTTTCCAGGCATCAGCAGCACTGGCGGGAGCTGCGGCGAGGATGGGGCAGCATTGGCAGGCGGTGTTGCTATGGGGAGAAGGTGTGTTGGCCCTGACTTGGCGTACTGTCTTGTTCTCATTCCCATAATTCCTTGCAATGCCTCCTCGCTCAAGTCCTCATATTTGTAACTCGTTATGCATCTCATTTCTGTTTTTCCCCTGTTTCCCTGTGCAGGAGGCGCCTCCTTCTCCCACGGCAGCAGTGTGAGCCTGGCAGCATCTTCCCATCCATTGATCAACCCATGCGGCTGGGAGAGGGGGAGGAAGGCAAGGAGGGAGTGTGGAGCAGAGGGGTTCGCGGACCTCCAGGAGAGAGCGGAGGGGGCAAAGGAGGGCGGCAACAGGAGGAGGCATGGAGCAGAGCTGAGCGCATTCATAAATGGTGCGTACCAAGTGCTTCCTCCCAGCTCTTTCCTCCATGTTTGCCCATAGGGTCACTTGTTTGCTTCTGCTGCTGAACAGCCAGCCAAGGCTACATCCATTTCAACTTGCGTGATATATTTCGCTGACGTTTTCAGTCTCTACCATGTTCCCCTGTGCAGGAGGCCCCTCCTTCTCCCTTGGCAGCAGTGCTTGTGTGCCGGTGATCCCGTGACTGCCTGCAGTGCGTGCTGGTGCCTCCTTCTCCCATGGTTGATGGCACCCTTGGT